AGATTATTTCATCTTGATCCAATTTCTCTTAGGCCCAATTCGCTATTTTAAGACATTTTCACATTTCATCTAGCTCTTGGACAAGTATGATTTCTTTTTATAGATAGAAATGCATCAGGATATGATTGTTATAATCTGGCAGTATCCAGTACCAACAAAAAGAGTAAATCAGGATTTTGGAGTCTTCCCCTGCTGCTGTTTGTAAGGTAGTTTTTGCATAGCTGTATGCTTTTCTTCTGGAAAACTCTTCTCTTACACTCTCCTTGAAGTTACTTTAATTCTAGTTTCAAGTCACTGGTTATCAGGATCATGTTAGCGCATTTGCTTTCTCTGCTATGTTTGTGTAGAGTTACTGGCACACAACCAATCCTCAGGTTTGCTTGTAATTACCTCTGCAAGAATTAAGTTTGCTGTCTGTATTTTTAAACCCAAGCCCATGCAAATGCAGAAGTTCTTGTAGAGAGATAAAGCATGCTGGAAGTCACCATGCAGTGCTGTGAGGAACCAGTAATCCCAGCCAGACCAGTCTGACAGCTAGAGCCACTGAGCATCTGTGCATTGCCCTCTGAAGCTTTATATTCCAAGAGCTTTGTCAGCTTGTGTGCAATATGGCATGAATGCACAGGGCAAGTCTTACTCTAATGCTGACTATGAGTCACTAAGCCCTTTCAGAAAACATGCAGCTAGCAGCATGTCATGAGGTTAATATTTCCAAAACCCATAGGCTTTTTCTCCCCATGAATTAGCCAGGAAGTGCCTGCATTTCAATACACAGTTTAAATCCAGCGTGGACACTCACCTTTCTGGGTGGAGGCTGGGATATACTTACTAGAAAACAAAGATCAAGGTTGAAAAATCCACAACAGAAAATAAATAAATAAATAAAAGAAAGCAGAAGAAACAACAATGTTGTTTTTGCACTTTGAGTAAACAGAAATGAAGCTACTGACAGTATTGTGTTGAAGGCACAGCGAATATTGTGGTTTTTTTTTTCTGTGGAAACTGGCTGGCTTTGGAAAGGTGAAGAGGTTGCCAGACCATTCTGTAGTTAGTTAGTAGAGATCATGTTCTTCATCATGAGGTTAACACTTAATTGCATCATACTGACCAAATACTGCTGTGGGAAATTATGCCTTGCCTCTTCTCAACACAGATATTGCTGCTTTAACTATCAGCTGCTGTGGTTCTCCCCACTACAACCCCTTTTACTTTCTTTTTGTAGCTGTGACTTTGACCACTTTGTTGTCCCCCTCTCCTAGAAATGTCTCTGCTTTCATTGACTACATCCATAAATGTCCTTCCCCATCTAACCTGTGGTGCTGAAGTCTTCTTTAGCTTTTTCCTGGGCATAAGACCAATGAACTAGCTTCAGCAAAGAGACGGCCACAGATACAAGGCACCTAAGCAGAGTTTCTGCCCAGGAATGTTGGGAAATACTTAAAATAACCTCACAAAAGGAATATTAGTTTGGGGATATATTCCTGAATCTATTTGGGATAAAAGTATACCAGATTTTTTTGAAAGTGTCAGCATAAATGACAGACAATCTTCATGCTTCTCTTCTGGTATTAAAAGCTAGTTTCAAATTTCATGCAAAGTAAAAAAATAGATTGTTTTGGCAAGTTTTGTGCACTGAATTTCAACATCTACCCTCTTCTTTCCTATTCTTATTTTCTCTTCAGATAAGAGGAAGACTGTAAGGATTATTACATGCCAGACCAATGTATTGCTTGGTAACATAGCCTGAATCAGTGTCTGACTCCTCATTTAATACTGTCCCACCTACCATGGGAAGCACAAAGCTGTATATGCAAATATGCCAAAAAATGCATCCAAGATATAGACTCTACCTTTAAACCACCTATTCAACTTGACTGCTTTCTGCACTTCCTGAGAAATGTGCCATCAGCACTAACCAATACTTAACTGCTTTTTGGTATCTGACCATTCCCTTTGATTGTTTTCTTTGTGAACTGTAAATACAGGTACCTGGAAATATTTCAGTGCTGTTGTAAGAAAACACAGCTGTGGTATATTTCTTCTGTTTTGTGTTAGTGTGTATTTTTCTTACCCAACACAAAACCTCACAAACTGCTCAGGTGACAGTGCTGGTTTTGAGAAGCTAAGTATTAGAACATAATGAAGTGCTGCATCGTCTTAGTCTGGTACCTGATCTCCAAAATATGATGTCTTACTGTCAAGTCTCAGCTTCCAGATGTAGTTCCTGCCTGGCAAGTGCTGGCAGAAGGAAACCTGAGGAACTTTCTCAAACACAAATCAGGCAGGCCCTTAGTATTGCTGCCAAACCAAGGCAACAAGGCAGGCACGCACCATTGTAACACTGACAGATGTTGAACCAAGGGAACTGGGTGGAAATGGTGGATCCAGTCATTCCACTGGGAACTTCTGTGCAGGCTGTCTGTGGCCTGGAGACCATCTTTACTGGCCACAAGGCAAGTTGCACTTCTGGACTGAGACGTGTCGAAAGAGACAAGCTTCAGTACTCAGCGCAGAGCAGCAGGGTGGGGAGGGCAAAGACAGAATTGCAAAGCCATTCCAGTTGTATGTTGTCCTTAAGTGTAACCCATGTTGTAATATCTTTTAAGTGTAACCCTTCAGCTTCAGAATCAAAAAGGCTAAAGATTCCATGTTAATTAGTAATCTCTGGAGTCACACAGCTCTCTAATAACTACCCAGAGATCAAAGACATTTCATGTCTAGCATATTTTAATATCAAGATAGAATTAATGTTGTAATTTCTGTAATTAAGGTCTTGAAATTAGTATTTAGAAAAGGCCACTGTATACATATATATGTTTCTACCCAAGATAATTCCCATGGATGGGTGCTGAAGAAAAATGTGAAAAGAAGAAAAATACAAATGTTGGAATACCAGCCTTCAGTCTTTGTTGGCATCACTTCTCGTTATGTTGCTACCTTGACAATGCTAAAGCCTTATCTAGAGAAGTAAAAATAGAGAAAATACTCCTTAAAATGTTTCCATTTGCAAGTCTCAGTCCTTGAATCAAAGTACCCACATACTTGAAGACCTTTTTGTCCTTTATGTCTTTTTTGGAAGCTGCCAACCAACAGCAAATTGGGAATGTTAAAAGTAAAAAAAGTGATTCCAATTTATCTGTCACATTTGTATTCATTTTTATTACAACAATTAAGCCAAATTTTTCAGCTGTTAGGCTTGATAACTGAGACATAGTTGTAATAATGATTTAAACTGCTCCCAGAGTTACCTCTCCAACATACTTCTATTGATTTCAGTGTTAACAAAGGCTTTGATGTGTGTGTGTGTCTCTCAGAAACTGCAAAGTTCGTTTTCTTGCATAAAACCTTGAACACTGGGCAAAGAACATTACAAAACACAGCAGGGTGGCTAAAACAGTTTATATTAGCAGTGATTTGAAAAAAAAATCTTGATTGTTTTAACCTCTAAATGCTTTATTTGTTACAATGGTGGGTGCTATGATGCCAAGATATGGTTTAAATGGAGCCATGCATCTTACACAGCATACTGCCAATTCTTCTCAGCCACACTTGTATTGACTAATGGTTTTAATGTCAGCCAGACCCAAGATATTGCAGATAAGTTTCCATATGTCTCTCTTTCATCTTTCTCTAGCATTTTCAATTGTATGAACAATCCCTCATATTATCGTTACTGATGTCCTTTATAAATTTCCGATTTTTCACTGTATATGCTGCCTACTGTTGGCCTATAATAACCCCAAGCTATAGAATCATAGAATAGCCTGAGTTGGAAGGGACCCATAAGGATCATCAAGTCCAACTCCTGGCACCGCACAGGTCTACCCAAAAGTTTAGACCACGTGACTAAGCGCACAGTCCAAGCGCTTTTAAATTCAGACAGGCTTGGTGCAGTGACTACTTCACTGGGGAGCCTGTTCCAGTGTGCAACCACCCTCTCGGTGAAGAACCTCTTCCTGATGTCCAGCCTTTCCCTGCCTCAGCTTAACACCATTCCCATGGGTCCTATCACTGGTGTTTACAGAGAATAGGTCACCTGCCTCTCCATGTAATAATCCTTTTGCTTAAAATAGGCCATGTTGTACATTATTTCTCAGAGATGAGTTAAACTTTCCCGTTACTGCTGTGGTTTACAATATTGGTACAGTAAATACAGGCATTCGTGAATTTAACTTGATGCCATCCTGCTGCTATATAGAGAGATAACAAGTGTGGACATGTAGTCCAGAAAAAAGAAATATGATCAGCAATTTATATTAATATTTTTCTGAAAGATCATTCCCTGGAGTACCTTTGAACGTGGTGTATGCACACCTACCTGCTTTCTACCTTTGTAATGGCCTGTGCAGGGAGTATTCAGGCTGTTACATGGCAGAGTTAGGTCTTAAAACCAGCCTTGGGGATGTCTTCTCCAGTTATTGTAGAACTACAGCTCTGATCCACTGTGGCTGTCAGGACTTAAACACAGTTTTCTGTGTCCTTGTTCCTGACTAAGTCCTCCAACAATACTATACGCAAAAGTTCTGACTTCATGGATGGAGTTGATGGGATAGCATTTGACCCAAGAACTCCAGAAAGCAAGGTGCAGTATGGCACTGATATGATTTTAATCACAGATGAAACATGAAATCTGGCAAGGGCTAAACAGTCCCAGTATCAAAAGGAGAACCTCAGAAAAAGAAAGTGAAAGCTCTATCAAATTCCACACAAAGCAGCACAAGAGCTGTTTGCAAATGCTACACAACTTAAACAGGAAAAAAAAAAATTTTTCAGCTTTGTTGGGTCCAATTGTAAAACCCTCCAAATGCTGCTTCCCGTGGGAGATGAGTTTGAGAGAGCAAACTCTGCATTTTCAGTCTGCCTGTGATATATTGTACATTAGGGAAGGCTCTAGATTCTGTTTACTATTTCCCTTCCTTCCTCTCCTCTTCCCCCACCCCAAAATACCCTCTTAAAACACTTTTTTTTTTTTTTTTGTTCAAACAACAAGGCTAAACAGGTGAAATTTTAAATAATGATTGAGGATTTTTTTTATTCATTTAAGTTTCAATATCATTACAGAAAATGTTATGGTACAGAGTTGTTTAACATTAGTTTTATTTCTTTGCTCATTTAATTTCCACACGAATGCTGGTAACACTAATATCTGTACAAGATCAGTCTTTGATTTTTTTTAGTTTTTAGTTCTGTACATTTTTAAATGTATTGGTTAAAAAGGCTGTCAGCACTTAAGGAAGCAATTTTTTGTTTGTTGAAATAAAAGGTATCCAGTTACTGCCCAAGAGTACTGAGCTGGGTGGCTGCCGGGACAAGAGAGATCCCTGAATGCGCAGCGAGGTGAGGAAACCTCGGGGCTTCATTGGGTTCCCAGTGCAGCCACTCCGCTTTTGGCACTGTGCACATCAACACGAGATACAAGATAAAGAACAAGCAGAAGCTCTCTGTGAAGCGGTTATGAAGCATACTGATAAGGGAAATCCAAGTGTTGTCTACGCTAGTATAAATAAGCAGACAGCCTTGTTTTAAGAGCATAAGTAGTTGTATCTTAAAGATGAGAAAAAACACAAGTTCTGCAGGCACCTACTGCTGTCTACTAAAAGCTACCGCTATTAGAACTAGCATTGAACACACAAAGCAATTGCAAGGAAAGGAAAAAGTTGCTTTGATATAATCAGAATAAATTTCTTCATTAAGATTTCTTTTTAAAGATTTTTTTTAAAAGGTATTTATTTAAATTCCATTTGAAATATAATTCAAGATGTTGACTATACTGATCAACTTTTATCCAAATCAGAAAAACTAGCTGTGCCGTTGCATATTACAGGATACAGTCAATGATATGTGGACATGCATCAAAGCTTCGCTCTTGCTGGTGACATCATAGCCTTCCAATGACCATGACATCCACCACCTCCCCCTTGTGAAGCTCCACATACTGCTCTGTCTTTGGAGGTAGCATCAACAGTCCATTGGCACTGCGCATACTCATCAGACGACTGCTCATCTGATTCCCTACAGAAGAGTCAGAGAAAAAGATCAATTAGTTTTTCAGTTAGTTTCAAATGCTGCAACACACCAGGCAGGAAACAAGAGCTGTTCTTACAGATACTCGTGTTGCTAACTTATTCACAGAGCTGAGATTTATCTGCTCAAAGGTAGAAAGGAACGGAGAACTATGTAGAGAAATAGACATCCTCCTATCGTTCTGGTTCTCAAAACACTCATTCCCTTGCTGATTACTTTCCTATCCAGCCTTCCACATTTTTTCCCCTTAAGTCTTTATCTGTACTTCATATCTTGTAGTAAACTGCTAATTGCTTTTCTGTTGGAATTTCTAATTCTATCAAAATTACTTAATTTTTCAGTTTGTGTATCTAGTTCAGATTGTACAGAGACCAAAACCAGCACAGTCTAGAATGTTTTTAATATACCAACTCAAAAGAATGGGTTTCTTCAGGACACTGAGCTATACAATATACCCTGGAGATAAGCAGTATAGTATTGGTTGTAGTGACAAAAAAAAAAATAAAATGCAGTAGGAACTCATGCCCATTAATTTCTTGGTTTTCAAACTTTTGGATTGACAGGGAAATCATTCCAGACAGTCTCCTTGCGTAAGGTAAGAAGTGGCATATAACAACACAGAAAAAGCATTCAAATGTTCTATTTACCTCAACTGCAGCTGAGTATCCAGAAGCATCCCTAGATGGCAAACAAGACTAACAAAAGTCTTAGTCTGCTTTAAGAGAATATATACTGCCACTGATGTTTCTTCTGCTTTTCCAGTTCTGCTAGAATCACACTTCTTTTATTTGAAATGTTTCTAACTATGCCCCAACCCATGTTTGTTTAGTACATGCACAAAGAGTAATGTGCCTGTGAGTACAAGCAAGCATGGATGAGTATTTACAAAAAGGAATGTACGCATATATGCAAACATACAAGTGTGTTTTGTATATGTATAAAGGCAGATTATTCTGATAAAGAAGGTTTTAACTTTAAGTTGGTGAGTCATAGCATGACTGAATTTCAATACCATGTATGAATTAAATGACTGAACATGCATGTGCACAAGTGAGCAAATCAGTCTGTGTAAGAAAGGTTATACGAAAATACATGTGCATGCGCTTGGTTATTTTTAAACATGCATGAAGGAGTGATAGGACCTGTGAGCGTCTGTTAGTGTGTGTGACTGGGCACTAACCTGTACTCTGTGCCCAAGGTAGTGGTTCTTGGTGATGCCAAGTCAGTATGCACCGATGATATTCTGGGCGGGGGTCCAATTTCACATCACATGATAACTGTAGAAGCAGCAAAGAAAGGATGAAAATGTCATGCATTAAGATATCACTGTCTAAGATAATGGAATCATCTGTTCAATCTTTTTCCTTAATAATAGTCTTTTAAAAACTTGCATTTCCAGGCCACATGGTGCCTGGTGCAAGATCAAAAGCTGTAGGATGTAAAGACTGCAGTATTTAAGGGAAATACAACTATGATATTATAATATCAAAGAGTATGATGGAGTCTGCAAGCATTAAGTGAAATATTCCAAAGCTGTTCTTTTACAGGAGTTCAAAGATACTATCTCTCTGGAAAAAAGCTTTATCGCTTCTGGTCTCTGGCTTACATTGTGTAAAGCTAAAACTTTTATTCACGTTCAAAAACCTGCTAGCCCTGACAAAAGGGAAATGACCAGTCTTTGAAACAAAAAAACACACAAGGTATCACTCACAATGCAATTTAATTGAAGCATATTGGAAAAGGCATGCAAAAGTGAGTGTTGTGTTTGAGGATCATATTCCTCAAAACTGGAATGCTACAAATTTCTGTCTGTTTTCCAATACTTTAGACACGAGATAAAGGAAAAAACATGCTGCTGAGGAAGTGTCGAAGAGAGACACACGGGATACCCTGCAAGAGAAACGTCTGCACATAGACAGGAAAACTAGGAAAACTGTAAAAGGTAATCTGTTCTTTGATACCTTCTTTCAAGCAAAAATAGTAGAATAACACACTATAATAATATGCCTTGAATCTATATTAAACAGAGTTACTATATCCACCATTTCTTATAAGAGTGGCATGAATAGTTTAAAGGACTTACATTACTTTGAGTGGGGATCCTGTAGATTACATATATAAATAATCAATTCAAGGACAGAAAGGTGTTCAAATTTGCATTTTCTATTAGCAACATAAAATTACATAACTGGTATTACCAGATTACTCTACATTTTTTTATCACAGGTTAAAACGAATGTATTTTTTATACAGCAAAATAATCCTTCCTGCCTGAGTGGCAAATGGCTGCCTGTGTACATCTTGCTCCATTACATGGCTATTTCACTCTTAGGAATTACGGGACTGAATATTCATGTTAACAGCTTCATACTGAACCTCTGTTTTCTGTGAACTTCTTTCAACTTGTCAATTAGCCTAGTGTTCTGATTCCCCAAACAAGACAGTCTTTCAGAGCTCAAAGAGATGTGTTTCAACAACTTGAGAGACTTTTTAAATACAGGACAAGCTTCTTACCCTGGCTTTGATAATGGTGGGCCGAGGATCCAGAATACCCTGCATTTTCCTCAGTGCAGGAACAACGAAGAGATTGCAGGTGACAACAGCTGACACAGGATTGCCTGTAGGTTAAAGAACAGCTGGTAGTGACACCCTTTTTCTTGACTTACTCTGTGAAGGCAATCTCCTATTTTTATAGCAATTGCACCCTAAAGGATTCCAAGAAGCTTTTCATGCTATGTACAGGAAACTTCCCACTTAAGTCTGAAGCAGCATGTGGCAAGTAAAACTGCTCAAAGCTAATGTCTTTGCTCTTTGGCTAATGTTGTGCTAAATTCTGCTCTGAGCACTACTGCCCCATGTTCCTTAGGCCCTGCCATTTTCCTCTATTCCTCTGCTGCCTTTCTTCTTACATCTAGTTTTGTCTGCGGCAGGGGCAGTGTTTATTGTGCACAGGAATATATGTAGGTCCAAGCTGATCTGGTGCCTGATTCATGGTTAAGGTTTCCATGACCTATGGAAGAATAGGTAATATTAAATAACTTTCTATTCCCTAACGGAGTGGCAAAAAGCTTTAGTACAACTGCTTAGGAGAATTCTACTGACTTGTAAGGTTTATGTTGACACACAGAAGAGGTGTTTGACCAACTTCTGTTAAACACTACTTGTCTTCCACATCTGGCCTGCCTTAGGTGACAATTATAAAATATATAACATGACAACAGATACTCTGTTATCTCTCTCCTGGAAAAACAAACAATCAAACAAAATAAACCCAACTGCAGCAAGAGAGAGAAACGAGAGAAAAAACTTGAGAGACTTCTGAACACCACTAGCTTATCAAGAATAAGATTCCTTGTTGTCAGAAATCCATGCAAAGCCAGAGCAGTAAGAATAAAATACATTTTTCCTAACTTAGGAGGACAGATTTATAGCTAGATTCCCAAAGAAATAATTTATTCTGAGCTTTCTCATGGCAACCCAGCACGCAGGAGGTAAAGCAATGCTGCCCTCTTTTGGTTCCAAACTACAAGGATAACAAAACAACCTTCCTTCTGTGATACTGTGTTCCTTGGCCCTCTGTAGGTCTTTCAGTACTTCAGAGTGGATGCACTGACCTACATACACAGAATCTCTATTGGGAAGGTGAAGGGAGCTATGGGAAAAATAAAAAACCACCCCTGCACAGTGTATTTACAAAACCCAAAGGAATTGTTGGATGGAAAAAATTGTAAGGTCTGTACAGCAGCACATTCTGAGGATGGAAGCAGGAACACCAGACATGGTATTGTTTCACATCTTGTCAACTGTGCTTGGCAACAAAAGTAATCCACAAAACATCTTACCTGGGAGCGCAAAGATTATTTTTCTTACGCCATCAATATCCAGAGTTGCAAAAGTTGTTGGCAGGCTATGGAAAAGGAAAGCTATTTATGATCTGCACTGGACTTTGACTGAACCTTATTATGTTATTATTTATAATATTTAGAAAATAAAAAAATGATGATTTTGTTTCTGGTGACAAACCATCTGAAAGTAGCTGAATTAATAAACAAAAATCTACTATCCTGTCTTCATGCAAGTAACCAAGTAACAAAGAAATAACATAAAAATTTAACAGTAACAGAGCTGTATTTGTTTTCTATAGATGGCTCACCATTATTTTTTTTTGATAAGATTAGTGACTAGTTCCCTTTACTCCCGTGTCTACAGCAATATTGACAATGAAGCAGTATTTCAGAGCAGCAAATGCTAGATAGTCTACAGATGAACAAATTCAGACTTCTGTGACTCGTTATCGGGGCTGTTACAGTTATATGAATAAGACAGAAATGTCATGATTCAAGACTGTGGCTAGCAAAGAAAAGGGACTCATGTTAAAAAAGTTTTCTATATATGTTAATATAATCCTTTCAAACATTAGAGATGATACTTCATAGGAGCAGTGATTAGGCTGAGTTCCTTGGCTTCATCTTGAGCTAACAACTATCATCTACTCAGCAGTACCTGGGAGATTTGCCACACTTTGATCATTACTGCCTAATTTTCTATCTGCTAGGACTAATCAGTATCATATTTTACCAGGGGAAGTTGGTGTTTGATGTTTTTGTTTTAAAATGTCTCTAACATAACAGGAACTGTGTGCCAGACCTCCAAATCCATACTGTAATAAATAAAACTTTCAATATTAGTTGCCATTTCATCTTTCCCAATAAATTGTTTGCTTATAGTGGTATGACCTATGTAAATTTTGAAGTGCAGTTAGATGGTTGTTAAACAAAACAGCAATTAAATGTCCCTGTATTTCCCAGGTGTTTCACACAAATGTCAGTATCTTAGCTGTGATCACAGTGAAGATTATGGACATGCTTAAAGTATGCTAGCTCCTGATTTGCAGCAGTTGTTGAGAAATACCTGTTACTGATAAAAAAGTAATCTCTGTGTTTAATTTCACCTATAAACATGATAACTAATATGAACAGGATGGACTTCACTTTTTTCCCATATGTATCTACCATGTGGTTTATAATGTATTTGGAAAACTGGAATCTACTGAAGCACTTAGCATTTATATTTGGCCAAATACAGCCTCAATCCATGCTACCTCATTAAAAAGATTTCTTACCCTGGTTTCATAAAAACTCTGCCAAAGTGAATCTGTGCATGAAGATCAATATCCAGCACCTGTTTAAGATAGTCCTGTTTAAATTAAAAAAAAAATCAATTAAGTAACATAAAAGTGGCTTATACCATCTAAGTGTTCAAAGCAATTAATTAATATCAAGTGAAGATGAAAGACTTGTTATATCCTGAAAGTGCTATGGTCCAATGGGGAATTTCCAGTATTTGAAATAAAGTATTTTCAAAAAGAAGGGGTGAAGAACAAACTGATTTTAGGTGCCAAACCTGACTCCACAAAGACATACTAATATATTTACTTAAAAGTCATCTGCAGCACTGGAATCTTAAGATGACCCCACAAATACCTATTACTAGAACATTCTTTAAGTAAAAGATAGGAAAAAAACGACCTTTATGATTCAAAGTTAAGCCTTCAAATCATCAAGCTATTTAACTTTTGCCACAGAAGCTATCTAGAGGCAGACTTAGAAATCTCCTAGTACTTTTGAAATCAAGACTGTAGAAATCATAGTTTTTCAGGATACTGTAATTATTGTAATTTCTTGGGGACATGGTCTAATTCACAGTGTTCAGGTTTAACTGTCCTAAGTTTCTCAGAACGGAAAAACTGTAGGTGGCTTGTGCATTAGTTCAAGTTAAATGCTTCTGCATAAATACAATCGATCCAGTTATCACAGAAATTGGAATTACTTGTTTGGGCTTTACTGAAAATTGCTGTGTTCAAAGATGTAGTATCCTGTCTGTTGTGTTTAGTGTGACTTAAGACACAGGACGTAACAATCAACTGTTAAGACAGACTTTAGAAGCAGTAAATCTAAAGCTCCCTTGCAGTCTTCCCATCTCTCTCACTCTCTTTTGTTCAAATACTTGGAAAGCAGCAATTTTTTTTCAGCCAGGCATGAGTTCTCACTTATTGATTATTGATTGCATTAACCACATTTTTATTTGCCATTTAATTTTTAGATGCTCAGTTATTTCATTAAACCTGCTAAAAGCTCAGTATCAGAGGTAGAACTGTCAGTGGAATACAGAGCCTATTGACTTTATGCTGTTGCCTAAAATTCAGGCTATAGAGAAGTTAGCCAGAATGCATAAATGCCTGTAAGACCATTCAGCAGTTTAGTCACTTCCTAGAGTTCCCATGTCTGTACAATGTCCCAATTTACTACGTTACTACACTCCCAATTTACAGATCAGCACTTGTCCTTGAGTATTTTTCTATGAATACGGAGGAGAATAATGGAATTGAAAGTAATTGGCACTGGTTTAACTTGTTATCCATTTCCATGATGTATCCAACAATATGATTTCTACTCAGAAAAGTGACAAAAACAGTACTGATGCTTGTCATCTCCTAATGACTGTCTTTAGTATCTGTTAGTTATAAAAGGAGAGATGTTTGTTTTACCTGCCAAACTCACAGATTCAGCCTGGGATCAAAAAGTAATCTGAGTTTTCCTTCGCATAAGTCATGATTAATAAATGTCCTGCAGGTTCATCTACGCCCCACCAGCATCTTTGTATCCCTATTTTCTTTGATGGTTTTGGCACAGGGATTACCAACAGGAACTCAATCAACAATTCTGTTAATGATTCAAAAGGCAAATATATCAGCTCACTGTGTCTCGTATGTATTGCCTCTGTAGGACTATCAGGTGTAAAATGTGATCAGAATATTTTTGTAACAGATATAGCTCTGGCACATACAGGAAACAGATCTGCTGAGTAAGAAAGAGCTATTTATATACTCAGCTGCTTTTCACAGTACTTGCAAAGTAGCTTTATTCTGCCTACATTTTACCTACTCTAAGAATAGAAAGAAGTCTGTTGTCTTTATGTGCTATTAACCAATCACCTTTGTTATCATAACTACACAACTAATTCCTTAAATAAAAAAAATGCAAATCACTCACATCTAGAATTAGAATCTTCCCTGTTGTACTACATCTACTATAATAAGAACAAAGTAAATGAGGACAGCACTGATGGCTTTTTTCTTACTTAATTCACACTGAAGTGTACAAAAAGAAGTAAGATCCCTTATTAATAAACATTAATACAAAGGCAGAAGCTCTGATGACAAACTCTGGCTTGAAATACATATTTTAGGAAGTCATACTTAAATTTAGCATACCTTTTCCCCCATAGATACGCCTCCTGATGTAATGATCACATCAGCACGACTGATACCCTCATTCAGTGCATTCAGTAAATCATCTGGGCTACAGAAAAGAATAGGCAAGCAGATTAGTGGCATGGAACTATTAAGAGTTACAGCATAAGTAAGCACCCGTGTGCACAAATATAGATGTATATATACACACACATACACACACACTTGAAAAAGTAGTTACAACTAGGATACAACTGAGATTTTTTCCCTCTGAAGGCTCCACACTGCTCTGTTCAACTCAAGAATTGAAGTCTCATTAAGTAGACATCACACAGGTTGCCACCTTTCTATCTAAAAGCTTTGCAACAGGAATGGAAGGATGCTTTAGGCTGGGACTGAAGAACACCAACACAAGTCTATAAAAGTGTACCACTTGCACAGTTTGTAGCAATACAAATTATGAGTTAGGTAAACCAACAGGGCTATGTAGAGAGACCTGACACATGAGAACTACTGGCCTCTAAGCAGGCTGCACTACTACCTGTCTGACTTTTTTGATGTGTGCAAAAATGGGGGTAAGGCTCCACTTCAAACTTCCATCAGTGAAAAGTGGGATCAAATCCTTTGTTTATCTTCTCTGTTAGATGCCACTGCAGCAAAGACAGTTGTACATGCACTTCATCTTGAACAACCACAATCCATCCTGTTCAAGTGTCTATTTACCTTCATGAGAAACAGTGTATAAGGAGTTGTCGTGTTCCTCCGTAAAAAAGAGTGTAATTGCAAAGGTGAAAGATGGCAACTGTGTATACTTTCAATTTTGGTGTCTTAAATCTCTCTCTTTTCTTTAAGATCTAAACAGGAATTGTAATTTTGAAGTAGCCATCCCCTGCCTAACAGCAGTGTTGATGCTAACATAGAGCTTAAAGGCACACAGTGTTAGGACTCGGTAACACAAATTATACAAGAATACTAAAGGAATCCAAAACAATTTTCAATTCATTAAATGCATACTTTGCATTTAACATTTGTGACCTGACCAGAAGCTAACCAATTGCTAGGACTGTATGTAATGTTCAACACTATCTTTTTCCTTTAAGAATTCTGAAAGTTATTTTTATGGGAGGCTATTCCTTCCTGGAAGGCTGTTCAAAGAATTAGCAATAATGCTAGTAACTGTATAAAGGAATTCATCCAGACTACAGGACCTCAGTTAAGTGTTACACTACAATTACAAAACATATTAAAATGGATTATCAAGGCTCCTCATGCTGCAAATAGCATGTTGGCTATACTTTGGGAACTTCTACTATATGTCACTAAAAAATACGTGCAGTTATTTTGGGGTTTGAACTGGAAAAAGGAAAATCAGAAATACTGTGCAAGTCCTCTTTGACCTTTCAGAGACTAGCAGAATTTGCATGTTCCAAAAGGCCTCAGAAAGAGAAATCCTTTCCTCTGAGAATCCTGTCTTTGCCCATGGCTTGGTGAAATATGATTTCAGCAGCAGCTAGCATTACTTCTTGCTGGGTGCACTACATTTTATGTAACACAAAGACAACTGCACTCCCTCAGTGAGTGGATAATTCAGGTGCATGCAACCCTTCACACTCCCCATCTATCCAGCAGAGAGCCCTCCAAGTGACCTCCACCCTGGTTGCCTTCCAGGCAGAAAGACTCCAGGACCCCTTCTCCACCATTTCCAGTGACTGATGCAGCATCCTCTTTGGCATCAGACAGTGTGGTTAACCTGCACAACTTTTCTGTTTATGTTGGATTACAGCCACACTTGAGGTCATACTGCTTTGTAAGAGGTAGGCAACAAATTACAGCAGAAAGAAAAGCGCATTACTGATACCACAGCGTAGGCTGTAATGAATCAGCTATAATTAAATATTGCCATGTTTTAATGGAAGCAGTGGCTGTACATACCGAGGTGTGACTCCAAGACTCATGTGAGGTTGTAAGTGGCAAGTTGTTTTATGGTAGTGCGTATCTTGGATACTCGAACTAGCCTACAAATGAATGCCTACTTTTTTTTGGGGGGAGTATGGAGGGGAGATAATAAAACTCAAACAAAACCATCTGCTTCTTTGTCCTTTAGGACACAGAGACATTTTCTCAGCTGCCCCTTCTGAAATCTCAGGATCATATTGTTCAAAAAAACAGCATGGGTTTTCATTAGTTGTGAAGGCTAGAAGAAAAAAACAAGTCTGTTGTTGGCTATTGTTGTGTCTTCTTCAGAACCAATTGTTTCATATTGATGGTCTAAGAAGCAACCTGTATGCAGTAAGACATTGCTTAAGATTATTATAGTTTGTAACAGAAGTCGCTCAGCATCTAAGTCTTCCTTAATACTTGTGAACAAGGGTGCAGGCTGGAATGCCGCAGGGAACATGTATTTATTACACAGGTGGATATAAGCCTTGCAGAACTGTGATGACAGATGTTTGTGCCATTATTCGTAGGCTAAGACTGCTTTCAGTGTAGTTTCCTCATTATGTTGTGATGCAGGTGAGGATCTTATCTGGAGCTTGCTTCAGGCTGTTTCATTTTATCTTGCTTAATTATTTAAAGGTTATTCATAGGCAGCAAGACCACTTGTCTGAGGAGATTCTAATTCTGGATTATGAAGCGTACTTGCTTTTGGTTGTGGTTTGAGAATAACAGAAGGAACAGTAAAAAGCAAACAAGTCTATATATAACTACTGTTAAATAGAATGGAAATGCACTTATTTATATACTGAAACTATTTATTTTATATACTGAATATATATATTTATAAATATAATATTTCTTGCCAAAGGAAAAAACAAAACAAAACAAAATAAGCCCAGTCTCAGAGCAGGGGAGGGCTCAATTCACAACTTTGTTTATGACAGTAGCATACCACTAAAGATAGTTCATCATGGAGTTTTTTTATTACATGCCATTCCTCCAAATTGAAAGATAATTCCTCCAAATGCAAGCTATGATAGAAACATAATAATAAACTGAATGATTACACTAGTTTTGTTTTCATTCTGAAGGAAAGATTTACAGGATTTCCTCCCTTGTCCTTGTAGCAGGCTTCTTTCTTTTGCCATATTTGGCATACTTTTTGTCACTCAAGTCTATCTAACCTTCTTTATACCCTAATCAAAACTGGTAGTTTCACTTCCTCTGCAGTTAATACAATACACTCTCATGACAGGAATCCCCTGCTGTAATATTCAATCAACATTGCAGCAAATATTTCCATTGTCTTTAGTGGAGTTCATGCAGAATTATCACTCAGAATGTACATTAACAAATATTTGATATAAATATAATCAGATAACATGATATTACTTCTCTTTTCATTTGTTGCATAAAAACGAGCAGCTTCTCCTTTGGATTGACAAATGGAATAAATAACTTAAGACTATTAACTTCTGGAAGAACAGACAAAATAATTTCGGCATCTGAGCATTATAGGACAAGATCACTCTAATGGGCCTGTGACAAATCACTGTGAAGCTGAGAAGTAACAGTCATGTCTGAGCAGGTACAGATCAGAAGCTTTCTTCTGAAACCCTGGCAATTGCTAGGGGCAGGATACTGGATTAGCTAGACTAATGGTCTCATTTACTAGAATAAATCCTTAAAGATGTCTTCCCAAAGTGCTATTCTTGGATTTTTTTTTTTTTTTTTTTTGTGTGTGTGGACAGGACTGTACCAGGTGCTCAAACATAACAGTGAATGCCTTAATCAATGTAAAGGAGATTTTGATGGGAAGTCTCATTTCCAGATAGCAAAACTATTCTGTATCATTTAGTGATTTTCAAAGTCAGTGTGACACTGTGTTAGAGAAGAGAGTGTGCTTTTCTTACATGCTGGAATTGATAATTGATTAAAGAAACTATATACAGAACTCTCTGTATACTTCAGATTACATCCCAGCATCTCCTGTGAATACAATGAAGAAAATTTGTTCTATAAAGATTACATGAAGTTTATGAAACTATTCATATAGATAAGGACAAACCCAAACTTTCTCTCAAAAAACAAAGAACTCTCCACTAATTACACCAGTCTGATAAACAGAACATCTATTTTACCACCTCAATTTCCTGATCTTTATTTAGTTTTATGAAACAGAAAGCATAGTACAATCTGGAAATTAGTTGGAGGGTATCTGTTGTATAGTGTCAGCAACATGTGTACAATTCAGTAAGCATATGCATGTCATTTCAGTTGACATGCCACTTGCTTTCATTAATTTGAAGAGAGCCTTTGCAGGATGGCAGTGTACGATAATAGGAACACCTTCTATATTCATGATAAAAATCTGATTATCAAAGCTGTTTTGTGGAAAACTGTTACGCAGCTCTTGATTACTGGTCTGTCACTAAACTGAAAAGATATAAAAGAGCTTAAGAGCTTGAACAAGAAAATGATACAAGCTTCATTAAAATAGTCATCAACTATGTAAAAGTTTTTTTTCCCCTTCTATTAAAAAATAGCTACAGTACAGTCAGGACCAAAGAAATCTCTGCTTAAAGCGCTACTTTAAAGTACCTTAAATTACAGTATATTTTCCAAATAAAATCAATGTTTGTTAATTAATTTCTGTTGACCTTACTGTTTTCATTTACTGTCATGAATTATAAATCTGTCAGCCTCATCTGTGATACAACCCTTAACACCATCAATTTGAGATACGTGCAACTATACTCACTACAAGACTCACTACAAGAAGGACATTGCGGTGTTGGAGCACATCCAAAGGACCATAAAGTTGGTGAAGGGTCTAGAGAACAAGCCTTATGAGGAGCAGCTGAGGGAGTTGGAGGTGTTTAGCTTGGAGAAGAGAAGTCTCAGGGGAGACTTTATTGTACTTTACAGTTACCTTAAAGGCGGCTGTAGCGAGGTGGGCATTGGGCTCTTGTCCGAAGCACCAAGTGATAAGATGAGGGGAAATGGCCTCAGGTTGTGCCAGGGGAAGTTTAGATTGGATGTTAGGAGAAATTTCTTTATGGAAAAGGTTGTGCAGCATTGGAGTAGGCTGCCTAGGGTAGTGGTTGAGTCACCATCCCTGGAGGTCTTCAAGAAACGTGTAGAGGTAGAACTTAGTAGCATGGTTTAGTGGTGGAAGTTAGTACTAGGTTTAAGGTTGAACTAGATGATCTTACAGGTCTTTTCTGACCTGACTGATTCTATGATTCTACGAACTGTTCAGTTATATCATTTAATTTACAAAACAACAACAAATCATGAGCTGCATGACCTCAGTAGTAAAACATGTGATCCCTGTAAAACTGAACTGGGACATTTAGTTAGGACTGCTTTATCAATACATTGTCGCAGTGTCACAGTACAGAATCTGTAGTTCATTCCTGATTTCTAGGACCATTTCCACCAAGTTCTTGCCATAGCAGTCTCATTTGTTCAAAACAATCTCATTATCTGACAGTCATTTTCAGTCCTTGTACTTTGCCATATACAGCTATTTCTGTTGGATGACCAATACAAATTCTTTTGATAGTCATATTCTTCTATACCGCAGCCCAGGCTTTCATAAACCCCGATCTTTTGGAAAACTACTTGTTAAATTGGTGCGTGCAAAACATCACATTTAGCACCTTAAACCTCAGTGCTTTACAAATATATTGGGCATACATACAAAAAGATATGCATGCATCATAATGTGCCAGATGCATGCAGAAGTGCCTTATGCGAGTAAAAAGAAGAGCTGGATAACCTTTCTTGTCTACTGTTTTACTTCATTTGAAAATGTATTATACATTTCAATTGCATGCTGAAATAGGTACCCCTTCACACATGGCCCCTCACAGACTCAGAGGATCTACAGATTCCTGCACACATAGTGAAAACAGAAGTTCTAGCATTGGCTCTACACTAATCACATTGAAAACCAAAGTAGATCAGCTGCTCCTCTAAACTATAACAGTTGATGGCAAACTTTGAAAGTCTATGTGCCATCATCTGCAGGTACCTAGAGTTTAGCATCTTATGGTCGCTTCCATGTGGAACACTGGCTTGTGCTGGTTTTACATCTTCTGAGGCCTATTTTCTGTTAAACAGATCTCCCAGAAGATTTAACAAAACTACAAAGATCTGCTAGAAATTCTCCTTGTGTGAAAAGATCCTGATAGTTTCTACTTCTACCCTAGAAAAAAAGAAAGAGGAACAACAACAAAAAATGTAATAAATGAAAACTTTAATAAAAAAGCCAAGAGTACTTACTGTACTCAGACAGAGATCTCATCAAGTGCAATGACATTTCCGTTTGAGGAAAGGCAGGATATGGATTTGATCCTTTTTGATTAACTCATTTTTCTTCTTGTGCTCATTCAGTTGAGGTGACAGATTTCAAAATGAAGAGATGGATGCAGCTGGGCATAAAGACAAAGTCTGTCACCCACTTCTCACCTCATGGCTGAGACGAGTATTTTGCATATCAGTAATTTGCAGGATGCGGAATAGTGAATAGATGCCCCATAAGGTTTAGCTAACTAAAGCCAACTTCTGTAGAGTATATTTTGAATGTAGTAGGAACTCTGTGTTTTGACTAGTATGGTTTTCTAAAGTAGAAACTGATTCAACTTTGATGATGTATGTAAGAACATATGGGCACTCTTCTTAAACTGTATTTGTTTCAAAATTCTCTACTGTATTCCATCATGTTCTCATAATGTTTCTTCCTTCTACCTTCTGTGGTATTCCCCTGGATCACTTTGAACAGATGCAACATGTTTTTCCTAAGAATAGAGGCCAGCTTGTAAGGAAAGCTGGAATAATTACCGTAGCATTTGGCTTGTTTAACGTGAGTATGCAAGCTTTGTTTATCTGATAGCAACATAAAAAGAACCCGTCTTTTTTACTTTTTGCTGTTCCTTTAATTGATGCTGCTGCAAATAAGAACACTATTTCCCAGAGTAATCTTTTTCATGTTTACATCTATGAACTCAAAAAAACTTTGCTTAGAGGTGTTCAGCTCTCATTCAAGTTACCACGAGATTTGTCTAATGTCTTAAACTTTGCATCTGGGTGACAACGTACTTTACGCCACTGTTTTTATGGGCTGTTTCAGAAGACTCCCACTCATATATATAACAGAATGACAAAAGACCAGAGATATTAAAAATGGAGATAGCAGTGGGAATGCAATAGGAAAAGTTCCCATGTTGTAGCAGCCAGGTGCTTTATGCACTGTGGAACACATTCCTACATGATGGCATTACATCATTGATGGTTGGCTCTGTATCCCCTTCTTGTCTGCTGCTTGTGTACATTCATTCATCTGCAATCATTTGCTTCTGAATTACTGTGATACTTTTCATCAAGACTGAAAGTACAGGAACAAACTTTTGATAGTAGGTGCTGGTCTTCAGGTGCTGTGCCATTGTATACCACTGAGCACTTTGGTGTTGTTGCTGGTAGAACGCTGTCTTGGAGTAAACTTAAGTGTTAAAGGATTCCTTTTTTTTAGGTCAACTGGTTCTGGACGATTATTTCCCCAGTGTCTGGAGACAAAAGTGTGATGCTTAGATGCTTGTAACAGTACTAATATCCACTCTAAATCCAGACTAGCATGCATCCGCTTAAGGATGAGTCTGAGAGGATGAGAAAGGAGGAGTCTGAGAACTGCTGATTTCCATTAATTAATAAATTTTCCCTGGCTATTTTATTGGTTGAGGACAATGAACCTTAGAGATTCAATTCCAATACCTACCAGAAATCCATTATATTTTCCGGAAAGCTGGATGGGATTTCAGTACTAAATATAACAGCTTCTATTTTATCTGCCTTCTTAGTCTATACGGATTCACTGAAAAGTTTTTTACTTTTAGAGTGGAAAATATTCCACAATTGTAATTGTAGATGGGTTGAACTAATATGACTGAAGATTACACCACACAGTACAATAATCAATGCCAAAGACATTGCTCATCAGTAAAGATGACAGTGCATTTGTGAGTCTGAAGAGTAAATATGGTTCTACTGGTTAGTTCTCTCTCTGAGAAGTTACGGAATATGAGAAATGGCTTATACAGACATCACGGAAAGTAGAACATTGCGACTGATCTAACTAGTGCTAGGTGCTTATAGAAAGCAAATCTGGCACATGGTGTCATGACATAGTTTTCGTGGAATTTCTTACCTTATTAACATTTTGCTTTAGCTTCAATTTTAAGTAAGAATTCAAGAGCTAAATTCTGTAAATTAGTGTAATTGCTCTTGAACTACAGTAGACATGTCTCTGTGATAGGCAGAAATGCAGTCCCTAAATGCAGTGCCTCAAAATGAAGGCTTTCTCTGAAAAACACAAACTTTCACAGAAACATGACTTAGTCAACTGAAGAAAAGTCTGTCTCCAGAAGAAAACTGACCTGGCAGCCACAGGTCAAAGAAAATAGGAAAGCGCCTTCAACATTTTTTTCTTGTTACTGGCTATATCTTAATAGTTTTTTTGTTTGCTTGTTTTCTTTTAAGAAAGCGTTGTGAAATAAAAAATACTAAAACATAATACAAATTCTACATGAAGAGTAAATTACAGCTTATGAGAACTAAGTGAAAAGAAGGAACAGAATAGAAACGTATCTTTTTTCAGGAGAGCCAGTCACTTTTTTTAACAGCTGATAATCAATGGAAGAAACTAGAACTTCATTTGTATCTGTAATACTTGGCTATATCCTTTCAAGCACAAAGATGTTTTTTCATGTAAGAAAAGGCTCACGTTGTTTTCTCCAGCTCCAGAAGCAAAAGCATTTTTTCATTTCTCCTGCTACAGGTAGCAGGGCTTTACTATACCAGCTCTTTTTGTTGGTGTTTGTCCTAGCACAGCTTAGAAATACCTAAAGGCTCTTTTAAGATGTGCCCTCTAGATTTAAGTTGTTAGTTAGTAATGATATATGATTAGTCTTGTATGAGGAATTTGATCAGCTCCTGCTAGATTCCAGTTTCCAAGCAACTTCTGATAAAGGCAGACAATCTTCATCATGTTCTTCACATTTAATTAAAATGTTTTAAAGACTGCAGGTGCTTGTAAGCTAATTGCAGTTAAGATTTTTGAGATGTGTAGAATATAGCATAAGATTCTAGTGGGCTGTTCTTTAGTCAATTTAATGAGGAAGATCTAGATTTATGACAATCTGGCTTCAGCAGGAATAACCAATTGCTAAACAAGAATGAGTCTTTTGAAGGCTACGGGTATGACAGATTGATTCAGTAATGAGCATAGAAGCTTGTTTTTCTAGTATGCAAAGCAAACGTTAAGATGTAATTCAATCTTGCAACCTTCTGTTATAAAAATAGGCTTATTAACCTCACTGAGAATCCTTACATGCCTGACGTTTTCAGGTACTAGCTTTCAATAGGTTTTTAATTACTTTTCTGTTCATTTTTAATTCCCACAAGAATCAAACTATACAAACTATTTTTTCTTTTTGTTAATGGAGAAATTTACAAATAGTTTATTTCCCTTTTGTTATCACTCCTGCCCCTTTGACCTGCCTGTGATAGGAGATAAGTACATATCCATACATATATACATATATAAGGAGATAGTATATAATTGTATGTCTATTTTTTTGGGAAAAAAAAGCATAGTGGCCTGTTTAGAGATTTCACAAACATTCCAGTTAGCCTGCTTTAGAGATGATCAGCATGGTAATGGAAAAATAAGTATGCATAAAAATAAGTTATGAAGAGTCATAACAGTGGCTTCCCTAGAGGTATACTCCACTACTACCTACAAGCAGGTGTATTCCTATTTTGCTCTATTTTGAAAAGGGAAAAAATTTGAAGGATAAAGGGGTTCCCTGCTACTGATGAGTAATATAAACTCTCTTGCTGTTAACAGAACTTTAATTCTATCAGCATTGTGGAGCCATATATGCCTATAGTGCACTGTGCATAACCATTTGACGGACAGAATAAAATACCATTTGCTTCTCTGTGGCAACCATCGGTAGAATCGGTGCTCAAAGCTCTGCATTGACAGACACCTAGACGAGCCTGTCTGTGAGCATGCATGTGCCTCAATGTCCCAAGTGTTTTAAAAACGGTGCTCACCAATCTGGTAGGCCTGTCTCCGCAGTGTTCTGGAAGCTCTGTGTCCCTTCTTCTTTAAAAACATCTGGCTTCCTGAGGGTAAAGGAAGCAGAAGGGGTATAATAAAGAGCCAGGGAAGGAGAGAGGCTCCTGGGGTGAAAGGAATATTCTCTGCCTGGCTGTGTCCCCCTTGGTGGCTCCGAATATCCAAAACAGTCATGGGAAACGTTTCATCCCTGAGAGGCCAGGCAACGGAGAGAAAGGGGTGTAAGGGAACACCACAGTTATGCTGTAGGTTGGACAGGCTTCTCACAAGGGTGAAGAGCTAAGTTTCAGGAGAAGTTGGCTCAACTGGGCAAAAAATGTCACAAATTGAAATAGTTACTGCTATTAGGACCATATTTAAAATAATTAATGTTTTGCTATGAATTTCTATTTTATGAAGAGAGCATTTCCTTATACATATACTTCTTCCAAGCCAGTTTGACTGAGAATAAATCATTTTTAGATAGTGTCCTTTGTAACAGAAATATGAAGTAACATGAAATCTGTTTTATTTTGTCTATAACAAATACCTTTTATATTCTTTAGGTAGTAAAAGACTTTACTTTGTTTTTTCCTCTGATTGTCTTAAAATATAAGACAAGTAAATGTAAAATGTAAAAAAATCTTCATTTGACATGAAGATTTATGAGTGTTTCTTTCAAAAAAATGAAAATAAGATGTTCAAGATGAAATGGACCCAATGATGAAAGTCACTGTTCAGCTCTTGAGCCCTTTTTTCTTTTCAGCTGAGCATCAACAATAGCAACTTCCCCCAGTTCTCAAACCAGGCTCAGTCGATCCTGCACACAGCAGCTACAGTCTGTCATTTCAAAGAACATTTCTGGGCAAACACAGATCCTTTCTGAGTTAGGAATGTGAGAAGACTGGGCTAATATGATTGTACAATGTTATACTGTTATAGATACACACCAACATTACTAACATGAAATCTAAAATCCTTTTTTATCAAATTGTAAATCCACACCTGGTTTCTCCTCAGAGGTCATCACAGAAAGGGTCAGTCAGATCCAATGCTTGCTAATGCCGTTTGGCAGTCATGGAAAAATATTAAAACTATTCAGGTCATAAGTTTAGATGTCAGTCTGTTTCTGACAGATTTCCTAAGATTGCCATTTTCTGAAATAGTCTCATTTCCTCATTTGTTCTTCAGAGAACAAAGTCAGTCTCTGATTCTTGATATAGGGTCACTGTGTCTCAGGAAGTGACATACAAAAGACTTTCATATTTCATAAGCAATCTCAGCTTCTGCTTTAATCATCATTATGGTCAGCAGTTTCAAACATTGAGAATTTTTTCTGGAAAGCTGCTAAACTCTATGTAATACTCAGGCTCTCACAATGATCTTCTACAAGAAGGCCAACAATCTATAGATGTGCCCAAATGACATTATGAATTAAAATAGTTTTTTATTTTTCTCCAACAAATACATTTACAGATTCCCTCCATTTGTAAATGTAGGAGAATTTTCATAGCATTTTGACCTCCTTATTTATTTGCTGTTCAGTGTCATACTTCTGGGTGGTGACTCTAGAAATGCCAATTCAGAAAGAAGTCCATGACTTTTGAGGACAAATATGAGAATGACACACAGTTGTGCATTAGCCTCACACCAGAAATTTTACCCCATTATGTGTCACACTATGTAGCTTCCTACCAGTTCAGAGGACCCCCTAGGACTTACACTGCCTGTTTTCTGAAGTTCTTTTTTCACCTCTGGTTTGGCTGAGATGTTTCTTTGTGCTTCCAGATTCTTCTGTGTGCATTGGAAGAGATGACTTGTCACATACTGCAATGTATCTGAGTTTGCCCTAAGGATTATTGAGATTTGTGACAGACATTAAACATTTATGCTTGAAAAAGAGAGTATCCTTTTGGAAGGGCATGATGAAGACCTCCCTATATGAACTACCTTCAAACTACTACCCAGTGTCCCTGGATTCATTAGGCTATGACCACCCTTTGTAACACCATCATTGTTTGAGCAGATCTAGAACTGGAGCCAATTCAGCAAAATCTAATATTGTAATACTTGACTTCCTGCCTTTCCTGTAACAGAGCTTTTTGTGCAGTTATTTGTTAGATGATATTAGTAATTATATTTCATTAGTAATTATAATTCTGCAACATGTATTTGATTGTAGCAAAGTTGGGCATTAAACTGGTGCAGGGAAGAAGCTAGGATTCTGTCTGAATTCTGCCTATAGCTCATATTCTAACTCCTATTATGATTGATATATGTCAAACTGATACTGCATGCAGAATTTTCTGCCTCCACTCCAGATGTTCCATCTGGATTATAATACTGGTAATTACATGCAACCCACACAACTACAAAAGATTTAAACCTCTTTTTGGACGGCAAATATTAAATTCAAGCAGGCTAAATCCTTGAATGAGTCGGGTCTTTGTATCCCTTCGAATATATGGAGACATTTTCAAAACCTCTGTTCTAGGGATATCATACAGTAATGTCACAACAGCAAGGGTGATTTTTAATGGGTTTACCTGTCACTTAGGAGCTTTATGTTAACCTATGTCATAAAACAGAGGCATATAAATGAGAAAGAAATCACTCGAACGTGGAAGAGCTCTCATATGCTTATTGATCACACAACATACAAGAAAGTTAAAATGCTGCTGATTTTGTAACTATTCTGATCAATTTTCAAAGCAACTGAGCAGATAATGTGAATTTCCCAAATTTCTCTCCTGAAGGAAGAAGAAATTCTTTCTGTCTCTATTGTGCAATCAGAGGCTCATAAATGAAAATGCAGCTGGAAGCAGCTAATGTTATTAATGTGTCTCTGAGAAAAAATGATAAGTAAATTAGAAAACAGGGAAAAGAATGCAGAGAAGAGAAAAATGCACTCAAACAAAGGTAGAAGCAGATGAGGAAACTGAATTAATTACATATGTGATCAAAATTTTTCAACTTTAATAAAAGAGTCTCCTATAAAAGGAAAACTCAAAATGGAAGATGACTTTCTAAACAGAAGGCTCACTCTATAGCAGATTTTGCTAGGGCTAAACGTTACAGCTTTAAATAACCACTGGGTACAAAGAACATCACAAATGAAATCAACAGACACAAAAATATCCTGATAATTAGGTTAATTGAGTTCTGTAGCTCAGAACAGAGATGTAACTTTTGTTTTGATCAATGGCTTCCAAATAAATGTCTAATTTCACAGACTATAAGCAAAGGAAATGAAATTAGAAGCCTTATTTACTTGGTCTTGCTACATGAAAAAACTGACAAAAGTATATTGGAGTGCCAATTTTAACTGGTCGGCTGTCTTTGTAATTTTTTAGCAAGTGATTCTGTGATTCAGACAAAGATGACATGAAGGACAACATCAGAAGGGTTCTTTCCTTCCTGGCTTTGCATGTATTTCTGTCGTATTGGAGTAGTTCTGGAGGAATATTCTTCATTTCTACCTCATAGATGTGTGCTTTTCAGGCTGCTTGGTTTTTATATGCTAAGGACACAGAGAAAATCTTGTCTTTTACCTAGCCATAGCTTCAGCTCTATAACATTTTCCAGGTCTGTTCTTTTCTCCTATTGCTTGCTTCTAGGATTTTTAACTACAGTTTCTCTCTCTATGTTTTGTATCTGCTTTTTAAAATTTTGAATATCAAGACCGATACACAGTTTCTGAGAATGGAAACAACAATGATCTCAGAAATTATTAAAATGGTCCAAAATAACTAAAATACTAGCTTCTACTGAGAATACAAATATAGAAGTAAAACTTGAGTGGCCATTTAAAACAACATAAAATTCATATGCAAAGACATTTCTAAAGTGCACCTAACTACTATGTAGCCACCCACAGAGCTTCCATGCTCCTCCATCCTTTCACCTTCTCTGCTGGAATGTGTCTAGCACAGTCCCGGGCTTTGAAGCATCTGTCACTGTGTTCACACCTCAGCTGGACATGCTATTTTCTTACATAAATACCTCTGAGTGACTCATGTGCTGACATGAGTTACAGGAACCTCTAACCTTGTCTTCGCAAATATTACCCTAAACCAATTTTCACTCTTGAATATTAGCTCCTTATGTGTGACTGAAAGAATTTCCAAGCTTGTTAGAAAACTTGACCTGTTATAACAATAGTAATATTCAACTGCACTCCCTATTCACTGTTCTCTCAAACTCCAGTTAAATGACAGGAAGTGCCACTCCCAGTAAAATGTATAAGCAAAAAGAAGTATAAGCAAAAAGGAAAAAAGAAAAAAATGTAAGCTCAAAATGTGAAATACAGGAAAGGGAGAATTATGTCACAGTGAGGTCTTTGAAGAAACAATTATAAATTTTTAATTTTCCCTTTTTAAAAGTATTGTTTGCTAGTATTTCACTACAACTGTTCTATACATATTGCAGGGGTATAGAGTCTTCCTCTTTTTCACTGTGAATATATATACATATGTACATAGGTAAACAATAAACTGCACATATATATGACACACACAAACAATCTATGGTTTAACTCCAGTAAACCATTTAACAGACACTAAATGCTCATTCATCTTTTCTACAAGCATGCTAACCAAAACATCAAAATTGTACCTTTCATAAGATCACTGGTAAAAATCTTGCATTTTTTCAAGTGCCATGGTACTCCATCAAAGCAGTCATGTTAGTCAGAAAGATATATACTGAAATATCCACAGGGACAACATTATCCCAGTAACTTTACTACATAATGAGATAATACTGATTATCAAACTAATTTACACAACCAGATTTTTCCTTTGACTGAAACAGAACTTCAGATGCATTTTGTTGTAAATATTTGAATTAAGTATGTAAGTGTGAAAAAAAAAGAAAGACTGAAGATGCTGGTATCAGGTGGTAAAGATTTTTGTCTAAGTCAACAGTATCAAATTACTCTTTCAAAACTACTGTGAAGTACAAAATCACTCCAGAATTGGAGGCTCACTATTTCTGTTTTATAAACTAAAGTAACTACCTCTGCAGAAATGACTCCCCAAGCATGAAAGTGAAAGCTTGAAAAGAATCTCATATTACCTTTGCCAAGGTAATACTATTTTGAGACAGAGAACGTTTTAATAGAAGGAATTCAAAAGTTATCAACCTCAAAACTGAAAGCAAAGCTGCAGACACTTGTTTACCTTTGAGTGATATATGTTTGCTGTCTGCTTTTCAGCTCACATTCAACAAGTAAAAAAGGGTTGCAAAACCTACTTATGCCAGAAAAGTAAAAAATTTACTTGGATCTTAAATGTCACTAAAATTATTTGTATTTATTACTGAGAGCTTTCAAGGTTAATCACCTTCACAGACGCTCTATGCCCATGGATCTGTATGGTTTCAGGAACTAGGAGGTTATAGAAAAACTTCCTGAAGGCAATGGAGTAAAAGGCTATAATTTTGCATGATGACCCTAAACTTCCATTTGATGGCGTTAACTTCACAGAAAATTTGAGACTATACGTATTTGGTTAGGGCAAGGCTATAAAGACTATAAAGAACAAGCAAACTTTACACTCCGTCAGATGGGCTACCACAAAGATGTTCAGGGAAAGTATCTTTTCCATTGAATTAACCCATTGTTAATGTAGCTTCTTCTTAGTGCTTTGATGACAGTAACCGTACTATTTGTTCATACAGGTGGAAAAAAATTCCAACTCCAATATTTTGTTGGGAAAAAAGCCTGCTGGCCCTATTTTTGTATAGCAGTGATTCACAGGAGTTGACTATGACTAAGCTTTTTTTTTGTGGCTGTCTCCTTTTTTCTCATATATGTGGATCTAGAACCTGATCTCTGATTATATTTGTTTTATTTGGGAACTCTGCTACCTGTGCTTTAAGGTCTTTAAAAGTTGTTATAATACACAAGATGCTCTAGAGATCCAGAACATTTGGGTACCATTCCTGGAAAGAATAATTGCATTAGTTTAGACTCTATGAAATCTCCACCTGAAATTGAAAGCATTCACAGGTAGGAGGTTTTTGGTATCTATTATTATTTGGAACAGCAATTGAGTTCCGCCAGTCAGAGAAGCAAGAGGGGTGCCTGGGTGCAGAGAGAGAGTATCCAGAGGATTTGCTTCCTCTAAGAACCGCTGTGGTTCCTGTGTATCACATTCCATGTACGAAGGCTTCAAATACAACTGCGCTTCCTGGAGCCAACACTCAGATTGGTTCAGATATCGTAAAACCACACACTGGTCAGCCCATTCATATATTTTCTCTCAAGCTGTATTTCGTATTGGATCTTATACTAAGGAAGTCTGGTTCTGAATGAGCTGTTCCCTAGCAATAACCCTGTTTGGGAATTCTGTTATCAGTCAAGATGAAATGCAAATACTGTGATTTGTTCTTTCCTTTTTTTTTTTTCTTTCTCATCTGGCCTTACTTCTAACCACATGTAAGGAATACCATGCTTCTCCAACAGGTGAAGGTGAACCTGAACAACTCCCAACTCTGTCAGTTGGTTTGATACCCAAAATGTGAAACAAGAAAGCCAGTTCAAAGCCTTTGGGGCTCAATACATTGAGGAAGTATGTTATGAGAAACTCAAGCCATAGATAACAGGCATTGCACAGTCTTGCAAAGGACAAAAGACTGAACACTTCAATCACTTATTCTAGAGATCTCAACAGGAGATGTGGCTTTAGTACCAGTGGGAAACAAGGCGCAATCACTGTCAGATGAACAGAAAGACTGATCACAGGGTGTCACTCTATCGCAATCAAAATAGAGAAACCAGTAAAGGAAAAAAAAATGGTTCTTTTAAATACTTTGACATATTCCTGGAAACGTTCAGTAATATTCACCAGTGGGGCCTTCACCAATTGACAGTAATTGAGAATCTGACAAAAATTTATACTCTAAATTAATTTTGGCCTGGAAAATTAACTTTGAGAGAAACTTTCCTTCTCCCTTCATTGGATCAGAAAAAAGTATAGTTCCTGTAGAACTGTCTCCACAGAGGTGGGCTTTTACATGTATTAAATACAGTGCCTGTATTGCAGCAGTAAACTCAATTTGCAGCAGTAATAGATACTTCAACAAACAGAAGGCAAAACAAGATAAGCAGCATTCAATTAAAATTTTATCAAATTATTCCTCTTAATAGTAGAATAGAATTATTTAATTTTTGAATGAAAAGTTTAAAATATCTTCTCCAAGATGTGCACTGACACAACTCAGTGACACTTGCAATGAGTGACAGTTGTTGTGGTATTTCTTTTCTCCACAGATGCCATTGAATTGCATGACTATGAAGTGACATCTCTATTAACACATGGTACTTACTTATCTCCCACAATTCCCAAGTTGATTGTTGGATAGCCATGTTCTTGGATTGTAGCTAGGAGAGTTGAACGGTTACTGTCTCGAATCTTTCCTGGCAAGAGGTCATCTTCAGGATTCAGTAGCTATAAAACAAGGAATACTATTAGCCAGTCTCCTTGGAATACTGTTTCTTTACACAAATGAGTGCTATCTTTTGGATTTGTGACACCTGACATTTCTCTCGCCTGTCCTGCCACAGGGAGGGGAATGAGTGAGTGGCTGTGTGGGTGTTTAGTTGCTGACTCAGGTCAACCTACAACATATTTAGAATTGGTAAAATAAGTTAATCTTGAATTTGCTTTTTCTAATGTAGTTATGTCAGGACAATTAGCATGCTGGTCTGGAGTTCTAGCAACAGGAGATGGCCTGGATTTCAACATGGGCTACTAATAAAACAATATTAAGATAGAATACTGCAGAAGGGCATTTGCCAGTACTATTCAGTTTTCGGACACAAGTTATCTGCCATTTGCACAACAGTTACAGAGGAGAACTGCTCAAAAGGAATTACTCTTCCAGTCATGACTGGCAACATATATTGCAATCCTGAGTACCCTACAGGTCCTCCCTTGCTGGCAGGAGAAAAGCAGATGACACAAGGCTGGATGCATTACCAATTTTGGCAAATCCAGTGTGTGAGACTTGTGAGAGAGCAAGGATCTATGATCCTGTGGGGGAAGAAACACAACAGGCTGATTATGGGTTGATCACTCACATGAACACCTTATGTCAGCATGAGTTACTCTGAATGATGTCAGCATGAGTTACAATAGCTCAAAAAGCCAGCCTACTTGGAAATAAGGTAGAAGTCACTTTCCAGAAGATAGAAGTAATGCGAAAGATAGAGGAATTCAGACCTTGATTCTGAAGTTATTTTGCTTACCTCATTCCCTGTTGACATGACTGCAACCACTGGAAACTTGTTAACTTCTACTTCAGTTACTCCAACAGTTGCTAAGAGACCAATCTCGGACGGACCCATGTGAGTTCCTTTAGCCAGCACACATTCACCTCTTTTAATGTCATGTCCTATAGGCCTGAAAATTGTAGCACAGAAAAAAATGTAAGGAAAACAGAATGAGATTGAAAGTATCTTTCCTTGACTGATCTGTCTCCAGGTGAGGAGAGTTTAGGGATGCTCATTAGTCAGATTGTCAAAATGTCGGTACTACTTAAGGGTAAACAATGACTGCAAAAAATACCAGACCTTCTATTCCTTACAGATATTTTACTGTTTATGAAATGGGCTGTTTACAGACCTGATATCTTGTCCTGGTCGAGCTTGCACCAGGATTCGAACCTCTAGTTCTTCAGTACCCTTTAAAAACAAAGAGATCATCTGAAGTCAGGTGGGCTATTCAGACAAGATTAATCACTTTTAATGTCTCAGATTTCTACACAGCACACCGTACTCATTGCACTGAGAACTCATGATTTAAGCATCGTAATTTCCCTGATTTGTGCAACAAGACTTTACCACAATGTGTGCTAAATAATTTTATTAGACTTCCGGGAAGGACCAGCACTGAATACATAGTTTTACTTTCCTTTGTTATGATCCCCGAGCTTATATATCTTTCTGGTGCGATGCCCTGTTTGTTTTTTGATCTTGTATACCAAGTGGCTTCTTTCTGTTCCTCTCAAGCCAAGCCTATTTCAAAGATGGCATTTCAAAAAGAGCATTAGTCAGGCAAAATGCCACTACATCCACAGAAAGGTAGGAAGAAGATACAAGCTTAACTATTTCAAGCTCTTCCAAGTAGATCCTTATAGAGGAAACTCCTATCTGAGAGCTTTGTACTCACCAGAAAAATGCTTATTCATCATGTTTATTTACTATGAACAAGAGAAAGTGGCCTGAAAAGTCTGATGCCTACTTTAATAATGTGTTTACTTCTTCAGGGTTGCAGTGATTTGGTGATTTGTTCAATGCCAATAGGTGGTATATGACCTACACTGTTAATATTTAATTTATGAACCTGCAAATGGTTTGATTATGAATATACTCAGCTTTGAGATAGTGCCAGCCTGTCAGAAGCACTAAATCTACAAGTACTTAAACTGGCAGAGATTTTATTTTTACATTATGATGCAGTATTTCATACTTAAAAGTACTACAAAGTTATAAATCAGACACTAATATTACAATAGAAACAAGGCGAGTCCTTACCATCGGCAATACTATTTTTGCAGGAAAGACAGTATTATGTAGGACATAGGGATTTGCTATCTCTTTTCTTAAAGGCAATAGGGACTGCATTTTCTGAGTTCAAACTAAGTGCCTCAGAGCTTTAAAAGAAAGGCCCCAGCAATAAGGGTAACACATGCTGTTACAAACTATGATTCTGTTTGCATTCTGTGAAAATGGATACATTTAAACACCTGAAAAACAGGAAATTAAGAACCAAAACAACATCAACCCTGAAAAGGTCTAATGTCTTACTTTATCACAGTATTTTCAAGACATGCTGTCAACACAAATTCTGTTTGTTTAATACCTGCTCCTGCAGTATAAGATAAGGGACTGTTTTTGGCAGCTAATGTCCAAAATAGCTGTGCTAGAGCCCAAAATGTCCTTATCTCCTTTATCCCCATCTGAAGCTGTAAAAGACAATTTAGGCTTGTGATGAAAATCTGGAACATAAGTTAGTCTAATAGCTATTTTATTGTTTATGACACTCTGGGGATGGTTGGCCAGTTATGAAAATTTTAGTTTTCCATATCCTTAATAGCATTTAAAAATAGCTAGGCCATTTCTGGGGAATCAAGAGGAGTGCCAATGACACATCTGAGTAATAAAAAAGGTCCTACTAAGGGCTTCTGGATTAGGGAAAACAATTTAAAAAAGGCTTTTGAGGAATTTAATAGCCCCAGGTTTGGAAAGCTCTGTGGAAAGTGTGACTGTGGGCAACAGGGTGATGTGCAGAGACTGTTATTCGTGGAACTGAGGGATATCCCAGAATGCTTTAGAAATACAAGGTAGTTCAGAGTTGCTAGAAGTAGGGCTTACACAAAGATATGACAGTTAAGAATAATTTCCATTTGCTGTGGATCAGGCAGTATTCTTCTTGTTGTATATTAATATATTTTGAACTATGTTTGAGTGTTTTACTCTGATGGTTGTTAGCAGCCAGCATCCATACTGATATACTGATGCTTGGTCTTACTGTACTCTTGTTTAATTGATCACTTTGGCCTCCTTTTTCCTACAAGGTAACATAAAAACTCAAAAAAAAAAAAAAAGGGGTAGAAGTGCTCTTGCATGGATAGGTTTCTCAATGGCCATGCATTTGGCTATCTGATGGGAAATTTTCTTCCTGATGAACAGATGTTATTCCTTTCAGGCCTGTGACTTCTACAGTCATTTGGAGAATCCTTGCTATGATGTTTAAACTCCTTTTAAAAGTACTCTCTATCTTTTCAGAAGAACATATTTCAGATGAGAGATTTAATTTCAGTTAAATCCCAGCCCTGAAGGAGTTCTAAAAGAAAAACATTCTTGAAATATGTAACCAACTAGGCATAAAAAAGGAGATGAAAATAACATGTCAACTAAACTGTACTATTTCTGTACATGATTATCAGAGTTGTGTATTCAAGAAGAAGCAGAAACTGAAGTGTTCTACCTCACACTCATAGGCAGGAAAATGATACTGAAAGTGGCTGACCATTTGCTATGAAACTTAGAGTTTAAGCACATAGGCAAAGAATCTGTTCCCGCATGTAGAAGAGAACATGCACATGAACAGTGGAATCCAGGATGGCTGTCATCCAAGGAAGAAGCAGGAAATAACATGTTATCATGTATGCTACTCTGCAATGTGATACTCTTGTCATGATGAGGTGGGCAATGGCCACAGAAAACCTGTTCAGTAAGGGTAATGGAAGGATTAACAAGCAGTAAAGCCAACATTATATTTACAGGAAGATAAAATTTACAAATACACATCTGTAACCTCAAAGCAGGACTGACTCAAGGAATTCTATATCAGGAAGGAAGCCAGCCTAGACAGCTCGCTGACTTCATCAGATGTAAAAATCTATGCATTTACAGTAATAAGGAATGAGACAAAATCATGAGAGTATGTTTCAGTTTTTGCTGTCTTAATTGGCTTTAAAAACCAGAATTCATGCACTTACACTCCAGCTATGATTGCAATGCTAGCATGTAGCTATGCTGACATGGAGCAGCTAGTCAGAACAGCAGCAGAGCAAAGGCTGATATGAGCAGAGAACCATGCACACACTTCTTTCCAAAACTGAGCTGGGAAGCTGTGACAAGAAGAGACATATCTTTTTGCAGTAAAAACTGTCAGATGATGGCAAACATGACAATAGTGTCCTGAAATCAGCTGGCTAAGACAAGGTAATGATTCAGAAGGAATTCTCTGAACAGAAGGGAAGAGAGAATATTTAGGAAGTCTAAGACAGGTTGTTTGGGATACAGTTGTCTATAACCATATCCCAGCCTTCTTCAAAAACACATTTTGCTTTGTTAAGACAACTGTGTTTACCCAGTTAGTACTACAGTACTCCTATTTTTTTCTGTAGTATTCTGCAGCACGTGTAAGGTAGAGTGCTAATATAATTTATAGGTATGCTGGAAAATCTCTTCAGACTAAACAGAGTTTAGACTGTTCTAGATGAATATGCACCTTACCAATTTCCTGGTTTTCAGGGGTCTTACATTCAGTAATTTTCTCCTTTTACAGCACAGAGCTCCATTGAACAAACTTAGAAAATTTGGTGAGGCACTTACTCCCCTTGTTACATGATACAAACCCTCATTCCAGACATATGCATTTATGGAAAGGTATGTGCAGAAGACATATTCTCCAAAATACACCAAATTCACCAAGTGCAGAGCCAGATTTAGGAAAAGAAAAAAACCACATTTGTTACCATTTAAGTGTTATGACAACAGGTTGTTTAGAAATTCTATAGTTTTGAAAGTGCCCTGGCATTGCTGAATAGGTGTGCTGTACTTCCCAGGTACATCAGTTTGGAATGTCCTGTTCTACAACCACAACCATAAAGAAGTTTTTGAATATTACTTCTTCTTAGGGACAGTGGACAAGCTGGAACAAAGCCTGAAAATGGATGGATTGGGTTTAGAAGTGACTGAGTCAGCTGAACATCCATTACACACAAAAATTAAAAGTAATAGCAAAATTATGTTCTTTAGAAGGCTTTATTTTAGGAATCTTTTGCTGAAATGATACCGACTCTGATAATGAAGAACCATCTTCATAGCATAGTTCAAGATAATCCAAATCATTCTGTGGATTTCGCAGCCCTTAAAATAGTTCACTTGCCTGCAGAAAGTCATGCTCAACTTTAACTACATCAGTAATGCTGCACTGTAATATTTCAACCTGTTATTCTGGGATGTGTTAAGAAAAAAAAAAATCCCCTCCAACTCGGTGACTTTAGAAGAACTTCTAAAGTCCTTACCTTGCTGAATTTTGGGATCATCCTGAAGGATAAAGCAGATTGTTCTGCTGCTAAATGTGAACTCAGTAGAAAAGAAGCAAATAAAATGTCTGATTGCCACTACTCTGTATTTAAAAATGTGAATATACTGGGCACTCAAATTGGACTGCCATCATGGATCTCTGGGAGGCATTTGCTTTTCACTCAATCATTCTCCCAAAAACTTTTGTGCTGGCGTACAATAACCACAATGAAAAATCAAGGTCAGGAACAGGCACATCTGCAGTACTGTTATTACAGTCTGGAAAAGCAGAATTGCTACTAGGATCCAATGTGAAACTCCTCAAACTTCTGTGATTAATGGAAGAGCTCTTGTACAGGACTATCTTTCATATTTACAGGATTGCTTCATAATCCACATGCTGCTGCATACAAAAGCAAAATGAGTTTTAACTTGTGACTCACATCATCTGATTCCCTGATGAGTTCTGTATCTTCCACCTGCACCACTGCATCAGCACCACATGGGATTGGAGCACCAGTTGTAACTCGCATTACCTGACCAGGCATCACAGTTTGAGTTGGCTGAAAAAGAAACAAAATGATTTACTTTTGAAAAGAGAAATCTCAAGCTACTTGAACATTATGGAAGTAATCTGAAGGAATAAAATTCTTTTATATGTCAAGAATCTTGATGTACTGCTAGTGATATTGACAGATATGAACTCCAACATATTTGAATATCATTAGGTAACTGCTTCCCATCTGACTTTTAGGTCACATATTAAGTGGCTTCACTTTTCTCCCTTGGATCCCTATCACAAGAACAACTTCCAGAAGGTGAAATATACAGGTATTTTGGTTGCTTGAGAAAAGTAACTGGCTAAGAAGTGTAACACTTAGATGAAGACCATTAGAAACACAAATGATCAAAAATCTACTAAGTCTTTGTTGATAAATCTATCTGTACAATATTCTGGTCCTCAAGGTTTACATTTCTTTTGTTTTGGTTGGATTTTTGTCATGTGTTGTATTACACATTGATACCATCCCTCACAGCATCCTTCTGGACAAACTGTCCAACTGTGAGGTGAACAGGCACACACCCCATGATGAACTGGCTGAACGGCAGAGCTCAAAGGGTTATAGCGAACAAGGCTACCTCAGCCTGGCGGGTCACCAGCAGTGTGTCCCAGACTGCTGCACCTGGGTCAGGGTAATGCTGGACACAAGCACACCCTGGGAGATGCAGATGGAGAGCAGTCCAGCAGAAAGGGGCCTAGGGGTGCTGGTAGCAGCAGGCTCAACGTGAGCCAGCAGTGTGCCCTGGCAGTCCAGGGGGCAAATACTCTTGCAGCATAGTCAGCCGGTCAGAAGGGGCAATTCTCCCACTGAATTTATGCACCTGGAGTACTGGGTGCAGTTCTGGGCTCCACAATGTGGAAGGGATGTTAAGGTACTTGCATGTGTCCAGAAGAGGGCAAGAAAGCTGGTAAAAGGGCTGGAAGGCATGTCCCAAGAGGACACCTGAGGACACTTGGTTTGTCTAGTCTGGAGAAAAGAAGGCTGAGAGGCGAGCTCATTGCTCATGACAACTTCCTGGGGAGGCAGAAAGGGAGAGGGAGGTGTCGATCTTTTCTCCCTGCTACCCTGAGACAGAACATGGGAACGGCACAGAGCTGCGTCAGGGGAGGTTCTGGCTGGATATTAAGAAAAATGCCTTCAATGTGAGGGTGGTCATACACTGGAACAGGCTTTCTAGTGATGTGGTTGGTGGCCCGTGCCTGTCAGTGTTCAAGAGGCATTTGGACAATGCCCTCAATAATATGATTTAACTTTTAGCTAACCCTGAAGTGGTCAGGCAGTTGGACACGTTGATCTTTGTACGTCCCTTCCAACTAAACCGTTCCACATTTCTAATATAACCACCTGCTTCAATTTTAAGCAGCTTTCCTCATAATGAGAGACAGCTCAACGCTAGTTCACGCAGAATCTTTCTGAGGGTCAGTTTAGCAAAGTCTGAAATTTATAATGCTCCACAGTTATGTAAAGTCACAGTACATTAACAAGTTTCACCGGAAGAATACAAAGAACAGAAAAATACCAGAACAACAGGATAAAACAAATGGTGTGGTTTTAATAAAATTTCACACCAGGCAGCCTATTTTAATATGTATGTTCAAATTCCAGAGTAAAATTGTAATTTGACCACAACCACTTGAGAAATAAATAACTAAAAGGAAAATCTTTCTGATAAAATGCAACTAAAAGAAGCTGCTGTGATGACTGTGAATATTATTGCTGGAATATAAGTACTTTCTCCACACTGTGCCTTAGTAAGGCCAACTTATTTGGGCTTTACTGTTATTATTATACATAATACACAAAGATCTTCACAGCTGTGACCCGTCCAGGACTTCTCAGACTGACTTTTATTAGCACATATTTGATAGCAACCCAGTGCTTTCCAAGCGTCAATATCTGCTCATCACATGGAGTGATATACTCCATGACTTTTGACAGGAGGCTGTTAGACATCTGTAAACTCGAGACAGGTGGGCAATGTTTCAACTGTGCAAAGCTGTGTTTGCCTTGTCCATTATTCTACTCCATTTCAGCACAGCTGTAATGTCTGAAATATGAGTATTACATACGTACTTCAAAGGCTGCTGTATTTTGTTCATTGGGACAAAGGCACTAGGAAAGGGCTGGAAATGATTTGTTCCTGGTTTACCACAGTATTATAGTGACCTATGTATCCCAAGAAACAGCTGAGCCTGGAGTTAATTGCATCTTGACCTTTTTCTAAGGGTAAAGGAAATCCTTTGAGAAGAACATAAATAAATAAATAAATAAATAAAAGAAATAAAAATTCACAGTTGCCATATGCTATGGTTAATGTGCTTTTCTGGCAAGACTAAAGTCATCCTTAAATGGGTATCTTATACAGATGACATAAAACAAATACTTTTTCTTTTTTTTTTCTTTTAAATGGTATTTTTCACCACAGATTATTCAATGAGCTATGGATGACTAGCTGAGGTGTACCATTTACACTGAACATGCTTAAAGCTTAAGTGAAAATAATCTTGTCCGATGTGGTGTTTTGACTTTTATGAAAATGAATGTTGCAGAAAGCAAAGCTTATGCCATGGAATAAGGGAGCTCTTTTGCGTGTTGTTGTATATACAGTGTATAGATACATTACAAATAAGTAATATTGTTTTGATCTTACTAAAGCATTAAAGTCTTTTATTTTACCAGTGTAGCACAAAACATTCTCCCATTTAAAATACAGTTTTTCAGCCTCAAGAATCACAAAGAATACATATACAGGACTCTGCCAGAAATCAGTGCTTATGCTGATTAAATGCACCATAAATATCCATGCTTTTGGAATTTATTACTAGATGAGGCAGTTAATTTTTGAGATGTAATGATGTAAAGCATTTAAGCAAATTTATGATATAATAACATTTGTTTTTGTAATCAGATGTGTTGCTCTTATATTTTGCTTCCTTTTTGTCCTTTGAGAATTTGATCAGATTAACTTTATGAAGAAAAGACAAGCATCAGACTTCTGCATAAGTCTGCAGGGCTGTTTCCTTCTACGCTAGAGGCTATGAAGATAAAGTAGTGATTGCTTCTCAGAAAGTATATTAATGCGCAACGATTTCACAGAAGCTCTTTTAAAGGCCTTTGAGATCTCATACTTACCTGCAATAGGGCAGTACATAATTTGCCCATCACCTTCATCACTGATAATCTATTTATGTTAATCACTGAATAAAACCCAGAAATAAGCTGTTGAGCATAGCCCCATCTCAGGCATTTTCTCTTACACATCGTTACACATCTCCTGCAGGATTTGTAATGACCCACGCTCCTTTCTGTAAAAAGGGCCAAGTTAACAGAAAGATGAGAACGTCTGTTTCCATTCTATATTACACTTAGTTGCAGCACCTCTTAAAACCATCTTTAGAAAGTCTTCCAGGAAATTCTAATACTCAGATATTCAAGTCTATAGGAAGAAAATCATTGCTCCCCATGGTCCAATTTTTCAGAGTCTGTGCTGATGGCTCTTGAGCAGTGCTCTCAAATGTGACCTAACCTCTCCAAAGCAGGGTAGTTTCTGAAAGTTTTCTTCAATGCAAAACAAAAAAATGTCTGTTAACATAAACATGACGATCTGGAAATGGAATTAAGAAAATAATATAGAATTTATAAATTGATACAAAAATGTCTAGCTTGGCTGTATGGCTGCTTTAGAGTTCTCAGTCCCATTTTCTTCCTCTCTAAGTAGCATTTACATAACCTTTTTCCCTACAGGAGGAACCAAATCTAAACCTATTTTGAACTCCCTGCTGTGAATCATTCAGTTAATTGGTCTGTAACATGAAAAGCAGTATGTTGCTGCTGAGAGTGACTGAAGGGTGAAATGAGACTGAGGAGACTTCTACAGCTATAAATCATTTCTTGGGAAGGAGACGAACATGAAGATGTGTTGGCCCAAGAGAAAACCTCTGACCAGTTATTCAGAGTCAACAGCCTCATCTTTCTTACTTGCTCTGGTGTTTCCAGAATTGTTTTCTCTCTGCGTGCCTCCCCCCTCCCAATTTTTGTTCTTTGCCAGAGAGGTTTACCATTCCCATTAATCTGGTGGGACAGACTGTCCTTGCAAATACACATTTGTGAGCTCCTGTATTTAATAGGAGGGAAACAATTTTGCATTTGCCCTACCATCCTTTATAGAAACATACTGAACTGATTAGGGCATTAAAACCCCTTAGACCTGTGGGCAGTACTTCCCATTAGACACAGCTTCACCAGAACTGTTTGTAAGCAACTGTGTTGTGATTCTTTTTAACTAGCAAAGTGAGAATATTGATGACAGGCAAATAATGATAGAATTGATAGCACAGCAGGTTGCTCAGCTGTTTTCTGACATTTTATAATGATCATATAAAGGGTTGTAGAAATAGCTTTCAGTCTTCTGGATTCTGGACTAATGTTTGAAAACATAGACAGGCTAAAAATCCAAGGCAGGTTAAAATATTGCTGGATTTATAAGTTTACATTTTTTTGAGTGTTTAAAGTCATTTTACATATTTCATAAGTTTATACGCATATCATTGCTGAGGTGATGTCTATTGCACTGAATTGTAATTCATGAAGATGGATGAGAACTACAGGAAAAAATATTTTCACAGTTCTCCATATCTACTATGATTAGCAAAGTCAAATGTTGTGTTTATTATGTGTTTGAAGGCAGTTCAAATCCATTAAAAAAACAAAGAAACAATTTGAAACACGGAACTGCTAAAACCTGAAACAACTGTTTGAAATACATCTACATGTATTTTACTTCAGATTTCCATGTTTAGTATAGGAATATTATCAAATGCAGTCTTGAGTTTGACAGTGAATCAGTGTCTATTACGAATATTTATACAGCACAGCAGGTAATGAATGGGTGCTGCCTGCACTTGCTCTTAAACTCAATCCATTTATCTGCTAAAGTGCACAAACACTCTTTTTGATTTAACAAACAGAAAAAGAACAATACTGCAAACCAGGCTGCTGTGCTTCCTCATAAGGCAAACTAGGCTTCTGAGGCTTCCTCAAGATTGTTCTGACCATTACCTTTCTTTAAAGACTTACAAAATTCTTACACTTCCATTTGCAGGTGTCATTGTGAAATATGCAAGCAGTTTGTGGAAACAGCTATTGAGCTGATGTCCCTTTTAAAATCTATTAGTAGAAAAGGTTAAATCTTGCTTCTCTCTGTTTATGAATTGTAATACCACTAGAAACCTTATGTACTCTAACACTGTACTAGGGCAAAACATTACTGTATGCTGTCCTATAGGACATGTCAGCATAATGCTCTGAAGTATTTTGGGATATCCTCGTTAGTTCCTTATGTAACTGTACTACCTTGCTGTTTGAAATCATGTCTCAAGGCACACAGCAGGAGGCTTGCTGCAGCTGTGTCCTACTTCCTACTTCCTAATGTTGAGTTTGGGAGCTCTAGAAAGCTTGTCCAAATACAAAGCAATGTCTTACAAGAGAAAAATGCATTTAAAAATAAAAATAAGAAAAGAAATTGTACTCACCTGCTCACCAGCCTGGGATTCCCCTATGATGAATCGATCCCCTGGGCCATCAGCAGCTGTTAAGATGGACAATACAAATGGTAAACGCTGAACCAAAACAAATGATGGCATTAGAAATTAAGAACAGGACAGGAGAACTAATGAATGATCTAAGATTCAGTTCTTCAGTGTCATTATGACAAAGTTTATGGAAGTTTTGCAAGCATTTTAGATTTAATATGCTTTTAAGATATGTTTATTATTTTGAAAATTACAAGTACCACAGAATTTTTAAAATAAAATTTCATAGTGATGTGGGATCAAGAAAAAGGGGATTAGGAGCAGTTACATTAGTAGCAAAGATTTAAGAGAGTTTATGATCTTACTTGTATGAAAATGTCCACTGTGAGGACATTTTTCTATGTCCTCACATAGAAATTTTATCTATGTGAAACTAACATGGATAATCACATATTTTGCCAGTGTATTATGTACCCTATTGATGGTTCTAGACTCTATTTCTGTTTTTGAAGGAAAGTGTGGACAAGTGCAGTGGTTATAGACTACATAGACTGGCATTTTCTGGAGGGCAATAGGGCTAAAATAATACAATTTGGAATGCTGATTAGAAATCTGGATTCTGTTTCCGTTTTGTAATTTTAGGAAGTAATATTGAACTGGTTACCTTATACCCTTTACTGAAGCCATTTTGCAAATTAAAAGTCAGAGATTGTTGATTTAACAAATTGAAAGTCTCCAGGATTTCCGATTTAGTCAAATCTGATTTTGTCAAATCTGTATTTTTACAGGGATGACAAAGGCTCTGTTACTAACAAGGTCTAAGCTTCTGCCTGCCTCAAAGGCCATACTGTAAGTTGCATTAGTGCTATTTTCCTTGAAGGCTTCAGCACAAGAATCGAAAGATTATAAAAAATCTTTATTTCCATTAAATATGAAAGAAGCTTCTAGTCCTCATCGTTGTAGAAAAAAATCTATGAAATATGAATAAGCATAACCTAAGAATGCAGAACACAACTAAAAAGAATCCAGAGTTGTCAGTTTAAAACACAAGAATCTCCAACTTGTGATTTTTAAGCATTTGATGCTGACAATACTGCTTTCTTTGTGAAGTGGTTCAGAGAAGTGGTTCATTTTAAAAATGAACTTTCACTCTTTTGTTTGATTTTTATCAAATTTATTAGCTGTTTCTTTGCTAAATATACAGAATTATATAAAACAGTATGACATCAAAACTTAACTACACTCTTTCCTAAATGAAACTTTTTTTTTTTTTTTTGTAATGAAGATATTGCTCTGCCTATCTCAGATCTGTCTACATTTTGCCTTTTTTTTCCAGGCAATCAAAAAGAATCTTCAATTACTTTTCTTTGAATAAAGTATATAATACTTTATTCTGGAGAATAAATAATACTAGACAAGGTTTTGGGCAGACAAATTTATCTGACCAAAAGCTAGCTCTTTATTATCTCTGTCTACAAGCTTTGTTTCTCATATCCTGAGATAACAAATCTGCAATAATGATAACACTGTTACTCTGTTTGAATCTACAATCAAAATTAGGGTCTTGTATGTTAGTTTTTACATAAGTTGTTGAGGATAGAGTTCATGACCATTCTGATCATTCTACATGTTTGCTGAGATAATACTTTTGCGTTCCCTTACCTTGTAGCAATCAAATTGCAAGACAGCATTCTCTTGTTCCCAAGGCCCTTGTCAGTCAGCATGCTACTCAGAGCTCCCCCTTGCATCTTTTCTCAGGATTATATTATCTGTGTTTCTCTGGCTACATCTGTACTCTCTTGCCACTATTACTGGTCATTTTGGACTGTCTGTCTCTCACACAAATAGATGACAGACAGCTGCAGTCAAACCTGTCTTGCAGACCTGGAATTTAATTTTTCTATCAAGTCCATGGGGAAGCTATTGGACTACATCCATTGCCTGGGCCTGCAGACAGTTTATTTCATGGACAGTTGCTTTCTATTGTTTCAGCTGCCAGTATCAAAAAAAAAAAAAACCAACACAAAAAACACACTTTAATGCCCCCAAACAGAACTTGTTGTGTCCAAATTTCAACATGGTGTTACAGTAATTCGACTCCTACCACAAGGACATCACTACTAGTATAATGTTCAATCATATAGATTTTAATTTTTCTTTAGCTATCTGAAGTAAGTATTAATAGTTATACTTTACAAAGGAAAAAAAGTGATGTACAGAGAAGCAACGTGCTCAAAATCATTCTGCACCTAGTGGCAAAGCAGAGGATGGATTCAGGTCTCCTGGGAAACAGCTCCTTGCTTGCTCCTTAAAACCACACTACTCATTTACGTACAGCAACTGCAATATTTTTCAAGCACTAATGAGTTTTTCTTTTGAGATGTCTCCATAAGAGAACATTTTGACATGCATTTTTGAAAATTCTCTAATGCAATCATGAAACAATTCACAAATAGAAGGCTGGATCTGTGACAGTTCAGCAAAGCAACAGCTACAAAAAGAAATTCCTGATTAAATAAACAACAGAAATAGAAGAATCTGTCATTCAGAAAGAGATGTTCTGCTACTTTCCTGAATACTTTGTATTTCCAAGAAACATACTAGCAACACAGGTAAATATCAGTGAGAACACATGGATGTACATTTGTTCATGTACATATGTACCCACTTAAAAGATCTGAATTCACCTTTGTCGTTTTCCTTAAGTCAGTTGCATTGTATGCAGCAATGACTCCATAAATGAACTAAATCAAATCTCAAGCAAAACAGCCATTGCTGGATTCAAAATACAAGTGCTGCTGAATGATAAAACGAGGAAGTGAACTAACAACATGTTAAAAAGTGAAGTGGTTTTACAGACACTATACTGCATGCCTACAAAGTGAGTTTTTACCTCTGACAGCATAGCCATCTTTTACAGATGCTGGAAATGGTGGTAGATTATCTTTTGCATATACATCTTGAGCAAGGACTCGGCCCATTCCATCTATAAAGGAGAAAAGAGAAAAGACCATGCTCCATGTCATCAAAACCAGTGAAAGGGAAAACAAAGTGACAGCAGCGTGCTCTGATGGATGAAATGTATGTGTATGTGACATATCTCATGAACAGATCTCAAGTTCTTGATTTCTGTCAAAACCTTTACGTAAATGAAAAAAGACTGGAGTCAGAAACTACCAGTGAAAAATTTGTTCAGTAAGTCTGTTTTCCTGCTTATGGTGAAATTGTTAACAATAGATCTGAATGACAAGGATCCAAACACACAGGTAAAAGCTCTGATATGGGATCAGACAGAAAAAAAAATACTGTTTATCCTGAAATCTCTTAAGGTATTTTTAAAAGTTCTTTCAAAAAGTGAATCCTACGTGCAAAAGCCGAGAGGTAATGGAATGAGCCCAGAGGACACAACATAAACGGTAATCATGGACATGTTTCCATAAATTGATGAAGAAGTTTTGCAATAGATTAGCTTTGCCTAATTGCTGAGAACATTTCTGTTTAATGGAGGATGAGTGAACATAAGTGTCAGGATTATTTATGTAAATTTACGCTGTAATAGTTCTAAATATTTTAATAGCTGTTTCAAACACACTCTTTCCCTTCACTTAGCAACCATGACTGATGAGCTGTAATTTGGCTCTGCCTCCCTGTAGAGACCAACATGAATTACTCCCCCTTTGGTCTAGCGTGCACTACTTGTTTGCATTTTGCCAGCAAGAACTTTTTTTTTTGTATGATGTGGAACTGAGTGGAAAGTATGTATCTTACCCCCTCATATGGTGGGAGGCTGATAAAGGGGATTTGTTTTATTTGTGACAAGATGGGGTAGGAAGGGTCAGAACTACTGAGACTGGCTTCATTCTGGTATGTCTAAGTAGAAGATCACAAAATCACAGAATGGCTGAGGTTGGAAGGAACTTCTGGAGATCATTTAGTCCTACCCCCCTGCCATGCAGGATCACCTAGAGATGGGGAACCTCCTCTTGTAATAGAGGCCATTAGGATTGCTTTGTAGCACAGGAAAGCAGAATCCATCTGACAGTATGAAGGAATGAGATGATTCCCAAGTACTTCTGCAAGGTGAATTTGTGTAGATACACACTTTATAGGTTATCAGACATGCCAAAAAATGAGAGACAAGAAACAAGTGTGTTCTTGCTTTACAGACTGACAAGAAAATCTATGCCCTTTTGGATTTGCTGGGAAGGCAGAGGACTTGTCTTTGTACACTAAATGGATGAGTTTTGCCAAAAAATGCACCTACTTGATTTGAAAATGTTCAGCTCTACTGAAGTGGTATTATAATGGAGATTATATTTTACTTAACACAATGTGATTTAATAAGCAATTATTTATAATTATAATAACGAGAACATTGCTGCACTCACATTCATAAATATTAGCTATTCAGCCTGAAGCAAATATTTATGTTGAATTTTTGAAATAGGATTTACCATGAACATTATAGTAAAATTTGTTAAAACTAGAAAAGCACCTTTGTGATGGCTATTAAGGTGTCTGTGTGTCTGTGATACACAATAGTGAAGCTAACAGAAAGCTCACTGAAAAAGAGAATGCAGACAGACATTCAAATTATAGCACAGAAAAGCCAGCTTTCAAAGGCCTAGTGAAAACAACCTCTGTTCATAGACACACAAAATCTTGTACAAAAGTGATGATTCTAATTTTAGTAGGCATGTTGTGTCTTCATTTTACTTCTTGTCTGCATGCAAAATCACACCAATTAGAGCAAAGTTGAACAGTATGTTCCTGGCATTCTGCCATGCAATATTTGAAGTGAATAAATGGCCAGGCTGTAGTGGGAATGAATGTCATTAAGGAGAGAAAAATATAAGAACTATTTGCCAGAGCCTTGGGCATTTAAAATGGAGCTAGTCAGAGCAGATAAAGGACAATCTGAAGTATTCCTTACTCTCCTTTACTTGAACAATTATTTGACTTTATTTTGATTAGTTGTAATTCAAAAAACATATTCTGAAATATTTTAACACCATCAAGCTGTGCAATGAGATGCCTATAGCTTTCTGATTCTAACACAGAATGAAGAATTACATGAAACTAATTTTTTGAATTTGGTTACTACCTTTTTTAAAGCTCAGTTGGTGAAAATGCTAAGTTTCACGAAGAACTTTGATTTCTCAGGCTACTGGTACTCAGATACGGTAGTGAGACAACAGGTACTGTACTAAAGGTGATAGATTTGTTTCCATTTCATAGTGTCCTGTTATGTCTTCAGTGTGATATGAAAAGGCAATGCTATCAAAACAATTGGCAAGTTCAGAATAAATAAACAGCAGAAAAGCATGCCCAAGCTCTACAGGTTACAGGGCTCTTGGACTAGATCAGAAAAAATGCTCTGTTCTGAGGCTTAAAGCCTCAGGTGTATGGATTGGTCTCTGCTTTGTACTTTTAGTATCAATTAAACTTTTGCCTTTTCGTAGCTACAGAAGAACAATCATTATCATGCTGTCTTAAGTAACTGCATCTAGCTGGAATAAAAGGCTAATTGGAGGCTTCATATCAGATATGGGTAACGGCAGGTGGAAAAAAGCTTGAGATGACTTTGGTTTATGGGGCTTGTGTAAAATGCCTTAGGACTGTCAATTTTGTATTTTTTATTTATATGGAAATGATCTATCCAGGCACTGACCAATATATTTACCAATGTGAAAGCCAAGTTTCAAAAGGTAACTTTACTCATCCTCCCCTTTATGTTATGAGAGAACAGATTTGAGATCTCACCAGGAGTTTTATATCTGTAGATTACAAGAATTAAATTTCTAGTATCAAAAAGTTGTGTCCTCTAGGATTTCTCCTAAAGGCTCCATCCTGAAATTCATACTATGGAGTCTTGCACCGCTAAATAACTGTAGACTTGTTGAAAAATAACTTGTAAGTCACGTTTTTGTGCTACAGTGCAAAGATAGAAAGTAATATATATTTGTTAATATTTGGTATATATTTTAATACATGTAGGTATAATTATGTGAATATTAAACCAAGTACATATCTTTACAGCAGTTTCAGACTTAAAATAAGCCTGAATTTTATGTTTATAATCAGGTAACACGAAAAGTATAGTGGAGTATCTACTAAGAAATTATAAAGTGTACTAGAATGCCTTCTCTTACCTTGACAGCATATTTCCATGTCATAGAATAAAAACAGAAACAATCAAATTGTCTTTGACAAATAAGAATATATCAAACTCTATACAGAATATAAACACCTAGACAAGACCAATTACTTCCATTCTTTTTCTGTAAGGACATTTTGAAGGCCATGTGGTCTAGACAGCATCACTCTGTTATTTGTATGGTAACGTTATCAGTATAAACACAAAATTGTTACTTAGCCCTTTTTAAAAAATATATATTAAAATAAATTAAATTGTGAAAACCTGTCCAAAGCATGTTGTGGCAGGCCATGATAATATGCTGTGATTTTGTCTAATTTTACCATAGTTCTAATGAAGAGATTTACAAATCAGATATATGAAAAGGCTGCTATGTACTGCTGATACAGATATGACTGCATAAGTCTGGTGCTTACATATAAATAAATAGTGATGCTATTGTTATATATATATCAATATATATGTACCATGTGAGGATTATGCTCATTTTTTCTGTCTACCTAGAAGAATACTTCTAGCCACATTTTATTAACTTCCATGGGCAATATAGCTCCTGTCCACAAATACAAGAACAACATAAAAGAAACATAAAGATTGTGAGATGGAGAAAATGAAAAAGAAAGATAAGAAGACAAGACAATAAAACAAGTCAATATTTACAGAATCAAGGACAAGAAAAAAAAAAAGAGAGAGAGAAAATAACAGGTTATGAAACCTTGTTTTTCCCTACATTCAATACCACCCTTACGTCTTTGCTTAGTTTTGCACTACAAGTTTTAAAATCAAAAAACACTTTTAATGTAAAAAAGAATAGTAATGCCACCACCACAGTTTTAGCATTATAACAGCATTATATACTATTATCCTAGTAGGTTAAGAGTCATTATGATTTATATGTAACACATGACTTTTCATACATACACTTCTTAAGTGAATGTACTCAACATTGTGGTTCATTATGACGTCCACAAAGCACTGTCTTAGCAAAGACATTTAAATCTCATGGTAAAAAGTCAGTTGCAGTTGGGCTTGTAGATGACTAACTCTCTTTTACTGAAGTCTTAGGCTCCTAAGACTTTTTGAATTCCCTCTATATGTTTATACAATGATCAACCTACATCATCAGTGAAGAAGATTCCTGGATTGCAAGTAATGAATGCATATTCTTAAAAATTAAGAAAGTCAGCAGACTTTGCAGTACATGTTACCACAATAAAGAAGTAGTGTGAACAACAGCTTTATAGTACAATAGCACTATTCCTTACTTCCATTACACAATACGCAAGTAATGTTTAAGAAGAAACTCAAGACAAATCAGAAAGAAATGAGGATCCAAATGATAACAAGAATGAAAGGCGTAGTGTGCAAGGCATTAAAATTTTGAATCTTACCTATATTCACAGTCATCTTCCAGAAGAAATACGTAAACCATGTCAACACTTGTCAGCTAAAATTGGCCTCAAGATCAAGCCTGTCCACAGTCCACATTTCTCTGCTACAAGCAGAGCTTCAAGCATGCCTGGAGTTGGTCTTCCCAAGTGCATAGTAGAGAATGTGCACACATGGTAGTGGGGTCAAATCTAAGTATGCTCATGTCCAGACTACTGACAACTATCCAAAATGGTCAGATAGCTATGCTCAGGCATTCTGCATTCTAATCTGCATACTGCTATGAAAGTGCAGGGTGTAATATGCATATTCCTTGCTGGCCCAGTTTTGGTGCTATTCTGAATGCAGAATATGTGGTATCTTCTCAGAGATCTGTTTCTTGCTACCAAGGATGCACACCTTACTGAATCAGTATGTCAGTATGAAGACATCTCAGAGGTTTGTGGCAGCACAAAGATTTGGTGCTGTATGTAATTTGGTGCTGCATGTAATCTCTGAACTTTCAAGACAGAAGACAGAATATCCAACTCAGAAACAACTCTCCATTACCTGGAATCTGCTGATATGCTGAACATTTTGGCTCCTGAGGTGTGTGGTTTTGTTCATCACCTCGTCTTTTTGTTCATCACCACACCTTTGGAAAATCTGGAAGAATCTCTGAAGGAGGTTTCCCTGTCCCTGCCAACATCAGATGTTTTTGTATTTCAAGACTTAATCATTAATCTCAGACTGGAAAGGGGGTTAAGTAACTCTCCTACAGTGAGAGAACAAAGTGAGTCATCACAGTACAACTTGGAGCCAGTTGATATCTACAGAAGTCCATTGTTAAATCAACCACTGAGGCAAATTGTGGTTTCTTGGCTTTAGCTTTGTTGCATATGACAGAGACTATGAGAAAATGTATTTATATATTTCATTAGAATTCCATTAGAATTCCATTCCATCCTTCAAGGAGCAGCACCGAGCTCAATCCACATTGTCCTGACTGAAAGGAGAATTCTACTCTGATTACTGGCATTTCCTAAAGGAGTTTCTCCCAGAGGTCAGTCTTAGACCTCTTGCAACAATTATTAAAAGGGCAAGCACTTAAGAAGGTTGTAAAAAATGGAAATAATCACTGTACCACTCACAAAGAATCCAACTATATGTAAAGTACCTCTGTAATTAATGATTTCTGTTCCGAGTACTGGGGTCATTTCCAGAACAGTGATGAAGGCCTTGTCCATAGACGTCAATGGGAATGGAGACATGCGGTGTCTTCTTGCTACCTTGGTAATGTCAACAGCACTGTGACCTGCAAAGAGAGCACCAAGTTTATGTATGCTGCAATGCATAGATGTTAACAGTGATGTTCATTTAAACCAGTTTGCTGAAATACATCCAGCACTGAGATAAATTAATTTATTTACTTATCCCTATTGAGCATTTATGACAGACACTGGGAGGGTATTTTATTCAACTAGAATCAAAAGGGAGACTTAAAACAAAATGCAATTTACAGTGAAAAACTTCATAAAATCGTATATCCTTGCTGGCCATGAAACATGCACCAGAAGTCCTGATGAGCATAAAAGGATCAGTTAATCAGAAAGAGAAACCTTTCAAAGGTGATGCAGTATTTAACACTTCGGATGGTTATCTGAAGTTAACTCAGGTCTGTGAGCTGGCCTACTGCTCAGGACATTCACTCACTCATTCTGTTCTTTCACAGCCTTCTCGTGGGTAGCTGTAATTTGAGTCAGCCCCTGGACCTGCTGAGTTCCTTTATGTGTTCTTTCTCTCCCTTTCCCATTCAAAATCTACAATAATATCCTTGAAGAGAACATTAATATGCTGCAGCTTTGACTCTGATGATATGTACAAGATTCTGCATATCCCATCTTAAACACAGATCACACCTCTTCTCTAGCTATGGCTAAACCTGGGTGAAATAAGCAACTGTATCAGATACAAATGGTGAAAATTAACGGAGAAGAGGCATGAGTGTTGTCAGCACATAAAGGCTGGTACTTTGAAGCAGCTGTTGTCGTTCCATCTTCTGGAAAGAAGGATTTACAATATAATAACTTTACAACACTGGCAACCTAGAAATCTACAAGGACTCTACTGACTTGGCACAGATTATTACTACTAGTTGCTTATGTATTATTATGCTCCACAAATGCATCTCAATATGCTACATGATGCACACAGACAAAACATAAAAATGGACCCTGTTCCAGTCAGTTTGCAGCATAAGATTAAGATGGGAGTAAAAGGAGGACATGTTTCTCTTGCTGAGAAAGAGTAAACAAGAGGACAACAAGCTTTGAAGGATTTTGAAAATGAAAATAAACAATGAAAGAGATAGAACTATTGCAGTAATGCATATACAACAGTAAAAGATACAAGCCAAAGATTAAGAAAATTACATTTGTAGAAATATCATGAATGGATTTGCCTGGAACAAGAAGCTATTTGTGAGAGCCACAGGGGATGATCTAGAAATACAACAGGTATATGCATTGACAGGAAAAGCTTTATCAAGATATGCAAGAAGAATCTACAAGAAATATGCATAGTCTGTCTGCAATGAAATAGAGCAATGAAGAAAAAGCCCAGGTGACATCAATCAATGTGGAGTGTTAAGGGGGACTGTGGCTGGTTCATAGCGATCAATAAAACTTACTGGGGGATCTCTACTAGGGATCTCTAGGATTCAACGTCAGAGATGAGACGTGCAAAACAAGACAACACTATAGAGTAGAGGGATTTCAGCATGCAGACTAGTTGATTTTGTGTTTGACAGGTCAGAGGGTCTAAAGGGAAGGGATAAAAGAAGGGGGCTAAGGACATGGCTCTATAGGTCTGCAGAATAAATCCAGAGATTTCCGGAAAAAAAGATAAGAAGTCCATGGAACAAAAATCTCTAAAATATCACCAGCAGTTGGCCACCTTCCCAATCCAGACAACGTAAGCAACAAAACGACATTAAAGCATCATGAGATATCATGCCTGGCTACATGAAAAAGACATTCCCACCAGTTTCCTGACAGTAATGAGGCCTGTCTGCAACTCTAAGAGACATTCAATATATCCTAATTTATGGATAATGATTGATTTCACTTGGCTTTTTTCAGTTCAAACTCAGCATGCTCCTATTACCTGGAAGTTGTCTGTCTGCCATTTTTCAGTCCTGTTGAGTTCCTTAATTGACAACTTTTATCTCATGTCCTTCTGTGTGTGAGCCTTTTGATCATCTTTAATATCTCCCCGTTTTTTTCCCTACTCACTTGCTTTCAACTCATTTCCATCTAGCACTATCCTATTTAGTGCTATAGGCAATTCATAATTATATTTCTAAAACAACATAAATTATAGTAAGATAGCATTAACAAATTATACAAAGCATCATTTTTAATGAGACAATTTTGCTTTGCAGTAGCTTCTTCAGTATCCCATTTGCCTTCACATTCAAAAAACCCACCCAGATGATTACTTTAAATGTAGGCTTTTATAAAACAATCATGCAATCTAATTTTTTCCTTCAGATGATAAGGTTGCTGAATCAGTAATATCTGTCTATACAAAAATTCTTTCAGCACTGACACATGCTTGTTTAAATACGCTATGTGGTAGACTTCAGTAATTCATTTTTTGCCATTGACACAGTAACCATCTTTAAAAGGAAGAAGTGGAGATAAATAAAACTGCCGACTTAATTCCAGTTCCAAGAAAGTTTCTAGAAGAAATTATTGAAACCATCTCTTTGTAAATATTTAAAAGATAACATGAAGATAAACGCAGGCACTGTGAATTTGTGAAGCACAAATAACTTCTAATTGATTTAATTCCTTTCTTTAACATAGTAGTTGTCATACCGAGGAAGAAAGACACAGTTGATGAGATGTATTTTAACTATATTTAGACTTTTCACACTCTTAAAGATGATTTTCTGGTGCACAAACTAGGCAGAAATGATTCTAATTAAACTATTGCAAGATGCAAGTGTAACTAATGGAAAAACTGCATTCCTGGATTCAGCAGCAATCTTATTTTCCATTCTTAGGAGTGTATTTTGTTAGAAACCTCATAAAAACCAAGAAAAATACAAAGAAAGCATTTTTGAGGCAGATGGAAAACCCATGTCCTGTTTCCCAGACCTTTGTCTGCATATGCACTACTGAAAGAAACCCTGCTTAGTGCCAATGTAATTCCTGCAGGTCCAGCAGATTTCATATAAGATGTGCTAAAACCTTTTTTCTGTCTGTATAAAGTAAGATATTATTTTCTTAAAAGGAGAAGTTGGAAAAATGAAGGAAGATGATAGAGAAAAACGTGTACAGCAGTTAAAGCTGGGAAATTGTGCGACAGCAAAGAACCTTTACACTACAGCCATTTGGTGCTGGTTGCTGCACCACTATCTCAGAAGCTTTATCTGCAGCAGTAAGCAGGAAAACAAACTGCATGATCAAAATAGAAAAATATATTTATACACAACTTTACAAGTATAATGCCTGGAACTCCTGCTTTTTCTACAGCCCTTCATATCCTGGGTACTGAAAATACACTTGGGAACCTTCTGCCTTTTTCTGCCATCGTAAGGCACACTGGTTAATAATTCTTCAATGAGAACTGTGCTAGTAGTTTCAGTATCATCAATTCTCTGATGATAGGCAAATCAAAACAGAAACCAAACTCCTTTCCTATTGTTCTGCTGTAGTGCCTACAGGATTAAAAACTTATGTTTCTGAAGTTAAGAGTGAAATATCTATTACTAAAACAACTGTCAGTTAATATGTGAACAGCATAAGCTATTTATATTTTTACTTTCTCTTTGGACTGAAATTCATTGTCTTAAGTTATTACATTTCTTCTGCAAACTCATGTGCATCCCAGCTGACTATAATTTGCTATCATGTAGACAGTGTTAGTTTCACAATAGAGCTACGAAGTTTCAGTACTCACTTGCTCTGAGGATGTTCTCCTTGCTGCTGCACCTAGACTGGACCTGCAGAGAGAGCACAGAGTCTATGAGCTACAGAAGTTAACAAGAATGCAAAATACAGAGATATAATGGGCAAGCTCCTGGGATCTAAGACAGAGGCTCTACATATTTTCAGCAACATTCTTCCTTACTCTATGTGCGATAAATATGTTTAAGCAGACGGGTACTAGCCCCCCCCCAATAAAAAAACAAGATGACCTAAGGACAGATTAATAGAGTAAACTCAAAGAACACAGTGGTTAAAATTATGTGTTAAGCTCCATCTTAAGTTTATTTTAACAAAAAAATCCACATTTTCTTATACAATTGTAATTACAGTAACTCTGAATCTAGGTCCTCTGTTTTATGCTTAGACAAAATACTAACATAACTGTGTTAGGACGTGTCTTAAAATTCCATTACTGATATTTTCGTGTATGATATAGAAAGATTTAAAAAATGGTTAACCTAGATTATACTGATTCTGAAGATATTTAATAAGCTTCAAATTGCATAGGCAACTCACAATTGTATAAACAGCTTCTGCCAGGAGCCAGATAAACTTACTTAATTGTTTCTGTTTGGTTAAAAGAAATGTTGTATTCAGAATGATTTTCACAGTGCAATTCTACTTTAAAAAGTAACTGTGTGAGAATGACTACTGGTTTCTCAATAAATCCTCTTCCTAGACGCTTAGCTGCCACTGTGCTATTCCAGATATATTGGTCTGACTCCAGTGAAATGGGAGGATTCACAATGGTCTAACGTTCTAGTAATGCAGGATATTTCAAGTTCCATCCAGTTACCATGCAGATTGGAAAAACTGGTTTTGAGGAGTATCAGTCCTGTAAACACAACACAGTTTGAACTTTATCTCTACAGAAGCATCAGCTCTTGTTAATTCTTCTCAGGTTTGGAAAGACACCATGTTATATAGTAAGACTGAACTTGCAAGTTTTTAGACCAAGTAATCTGAACAGCAGTCTGTCTTATGACAGGTCAGCTGTCTAAACTGGTAACACTTGAATACAAAGCTCTTCATGTGGACAAACCCCCAGCTGTATACGAGCTAAAGTAAACTTCACAAGACAAACATCTAAGAGAGTATGAACTGAATCCTTCCCTTTTTTACTTTAGTGACAGATGCATTGATAAATTTCAGTGAGGAATAATAATGTAAAACCATGTACAAAAAGTCAAAGAAGTGGAATAGCACAGATGACACTGAGGGTGTAATTTCCCTTGCAGAACGTTTGTCTTTGCTGAAAAAAAAACAAAGGAATTAATCCAGATTATTTTTCAGAACAATTTGATTTGGAATTACAGAAAACTGTTTAGAAAGTGAATATGTATGGTCTGACATTTAATGAAGAATGATACACACTGAACCCCAAAAAGGCTGTCTTCATAAAGGAACAACCATTTAAGACTGAAGACAGCTGTGCCCACTTCTAAACCTCTTTCTTCTGTTCCACAGCAGCTTGCCCCAAATGTATATTCACATAAAAATTGGATTCTACAGCGCAACACAGTCTACTTATTGTAATGGAATAACTTATGGAAAGTAATGTTGCAACTTAGAGTGGATTATGGTGTCCTTTCCTGAAAAAAAAACTGTTGTTTAAAAAAAAGAAAATAAAAGAAAAAAAAACAAACAAAAAACCAACCAAAACCAAAACCTCCCTCCTTCCCACCAAAAATACTACACAAGAAAACTGCAAACAAAATATTAATGATGCCCAAATTTGGCCCAGAGTTGTTTTACCAGATTTTAAAGGCATGACATGTACACTCTTTCGGAGAAGTAAATATTTATCTGTAATTTACCAGAGGACAATTCTGGACCAAAAGGATGGTGTAATGATAGAATAGAAAGCACAAAAGAGAGAGGCATGGACTGAGAGAATTAGAGAAGCAGGATGGGACGTGGCAAGCCAACAGACAGTGTATGCAAAAGGAGACATGGGCCTATGTGTGTAAGACTACTGTTTAAAATGGAAGAGGCTCTCTTATTTCTCACTGCAAACCATATGAAAAGAGAAAACGAGGAATGTGCCTGCTGCAAAATAACCAAGCAATTCAGCAAACTGTGGAATGAAACTCAGTGAGATAACATAGTCCTAAAGAAAAAAAGGCATAAAAACAAAAATACAAAAACACAAACATTTGAAACAATCTACCAAAATAAACTAAGTAAAATATGTGATCCAAAGGACACAGATAAAAGCTACTAGAGAAGGAGGAAAAATGTTAGCAGACAAAGACAGTGCTAAAGAAGTAAAATGGAAGTCAAGAGAGAGTCTTCAACAAAGTGGAGGAACAGAAGGAGCCCAAACCCATAGCGCAAAGCAATGTTTGCGAATGGAAAACAGCTCCTTTGAGCAGTAATAGTTACTCTCGAGTTGTAGCCTCTATTCCTCCTCAGTTCATCTTTAAGCCCTTCCAACCTATAGTGGAGCTAGTGTATGGACAAAAACAAGAGATTTATAATGAACAGAGCAGCTGAGATTTGCAAATCAAATCTTCTAATATAAAATACGTGCTGACAAAGTTTTGCTCTTACAGTGTCCAAATGACAATGGTAACAAAAGACAGCTGGCTTCACACACAGCCTCCTACAGGTCATATTTTAATTCTGTGCACACAGAGGACTTCAGTGACAAATTTAAATTTACTTTTTAATTTATTATAACCAGCCTAAAGTTTACATTTTATCACTCACCTGATGGGCAACATATGCAGTATGAGAAATAATTTGCTTCCCACAGATTTTAAAAGCAGCTGTGGAAGAGGAATCCATGATAATAAAATAAAAGGCTTGACCAGCTAGACTTGATTGTTTCCCAACCTATGCTCACAGCTGCAGAATACAAACCATATTTTAACATAACTGACATCATAATTCATTATTATGTAATACCTGTTGCTTAATATGAATTGCACATTGATATCCTATATGCTATTTTTAAACATAACTGCTGTAAAATACCATTTTGATTAAAATCCACCAGTTTTCTAACACAGTTTTAGCTGCAATGGAGCGTTGTATCAATGAGGTTATATGCTTTAAAGTGCCTTTTATCATACTCATTATTTGTATGTTTTACTACTTTGTTATTTGTGACATTTACAAAAAAAACCTATATTCTTTTCACATCTACTGCAAAGTAAAGATTCAATATCACATTGCACATAGTACCATGAATGATGGGGGCAAGTGATCAGTAATACTATTATTTAGTATAATTCTTTTCATTCAAAGGCAGTTACAGAGATAATACACTGTGGCTGTCTCTCCTTACACAGGGAAAGTGTAGTTTTATTGTTTCTCCATTCTCTAAACCCTTGGCTCACAATGTATCATGGCAGAAGATAGAGTGGGGCTATCATCCAGTAGCATTCCCCTGTGTAGTTCAGGCAGAATGTAACAAAACCCAAAACATTCAATTCACATTACTCTTTCTTTGTTGTTGTTGTCTTTTTTAAAGCAAATTGGATTTTATGTTCTTTAAGATATAATTTCATCATGCTAGAATGCAGAGTAAGCCTTCTCCCACAGGCTGAAGCATTAAATAGAACGTGAAATAAAGTACTCCAAAATAAATTGAGGGAATGGTAAAATAAAGAAACCTACTGACAATTTCTATCTATCAAACATGATTGGTCTGAAAAATGAAATCAATGACTACACTAAACTGGATTTATTTAAGTCTAAACGGTGTGCTTTGCTGCAAATAAAAATCAGTCCACCAAAAAAAAAAAAGAAAAAGACACAAAGAAAAGTTCATGCTAGAAGTGAAAAATTAATGTGAAAAAAAAAAAAAGAAAAAAGAAAATTGAAAAAACCCTTTAACGCTTTACCATGATTATTAGGAACGGTTAGAGAAATTACTTACCTTTTTAAAGTCATAACAAGATTAGCACAGAGTATTAAGTCAGCTCTTCATTATGGGAGGTACATACAATTAGAAGCCGTTGGTTATAATAAATTGCAAACAATGATGAAGAGTTTCCAGCCCAATATGAAAAGCTAACTCTTATGGGAGTACATTTCAACTTAGTTTTACAACATGAAGAACAATTCAGAACAATGACATTAAAACATAATCTATCACCAACAAAAAGAGCCCATTTTTTGATATACAGAAACTGTAGGAGGCTAACCCATAATCATCATCGTTTATGGGAAAGCATATTGCTCCACTTTTAGGAAAGCATGCAGAACGTGGAACCACCAGCAGAAACCCAAACATATACACACACAGAGGACAAAGGTACAGGAAAGGGAATGAGTTCGCCAAGCTGTAATGAAGGAAGCGGGATACGCAAAGCACAGCAGCAGCTAACAATTTGAGAACTCTATTCCTTTTTAACTGTCTCATAAATGCCAGATCTGTTTATGAGGTACTCCTCACACTACAAGTTACTTACAGTCTCTGAGAAAGTGTATAACTCAGGCAATCTCTACGTGAAACTTCAGCAGTATTATGAAGACAATTTATTCTGCAGGATGTGGAGAAGCATGATGTTGCTGCTTTTACTGTGTGCATGTAATTTACTTAAGAGGTAGAATCTAGCCATACAGTACAGACCGTGACTATTTCACATATATGCTTCTTATAATTTCATAATGCATAACATTCCAGTGGCAAGAAATATCTCAGTGCCACTCAAGCTTTAGTACATATTGCAATGGCTACATTCCCTTTTCAAATTGTACTGTAGTTGTTTTGTCTGGAGAAGAGGAGGCTCAGGGGAGACCTTACTGCTCTCTACAACTGCCTGAAAGGAAGGTGTGAGGGGGCTGGAGGTCGGCCTCTTCTCATAGGTATCCAGCAACAGGACTAGAGGGAATGGCCTCAAGCTGCACTAGGGGAAGGTTAGGTTGGAAATGAGGAGACATTTCTGCTCAGAAAGAGCAGTCAGCCACAGGGACAGGTTGCACAGGGAAGTGGTGGTGTCACCGTCCCTGGGGGTGTTTAATGAAAGGCGGGACGTGCTGCTTAGGGTTTAGTGGGTGATAGTGGTGGTAGGGGGTTGGTTGGACCAGATGATCTTGGAAGTCTTTTCCAACCTTAATGGTTCTATAATTCTTCCCTCAAATATTCTTTTTCCCCTAAGACTGTAATATATATTAATCTGCAGCTAAATACGTAAAATAAAAATAAAGCAAGAATAAGAATGTCTCAAACTGGTCTAATAACACTGTAAAAAGTATTACTTTTGGCCTATGCAATACATGTAAGGTTAAACTAGGGAAAAACTGAAAAATATAATGAGATGCATTGGCTTCATTAAAAAAGTTGTTTTAAAGCTAATCTGAACAACAGAGAGAATTTGCTCATCATTGAACTAATATGGAATATAAAAATAAGGTTGTTAAAAAAAATCACAGCTGAAGTACACCTGGAATTGCATACTTCCGAAAACTTCTAACAAAGTATTCGAGCATTAAATAATGTCATTACAAGCTGCAATCTTCCTATTTCTGGAATGAATCCTTATTCAAACAGCACTCAAACTGAGCTGAAAATTCAAGGTCTTCAGAGATACTTTATTGCCATCTGAACTGGACAACAGTCAGTTCAAAACTAGAGAAATGTTTTTTCTTTGATACTGAAAACTTTTCAGAAAAGGAAAGTGAGCTCTAGGAATTTGGTAGTAACAAATATTACTCAATACATTTTTAAAAAGGAGAAGCACCGTTGGTGGGATTCACCTCAACAAAATTTAGAAATGAATAATGTACTAGTCTACACATGGAATTACTCATTCAGAGTCAGTGGGAAGAAACAAGCAAAAATCATCTGAAAGCAAAATTATTTTAGGAGCAGATTTTAAAGAATTATTAAAGTGTTATGCTTGGTAGGCTTTACACTAAAGTAAACTAATCTTCAAATCTTGAATATGTCTTTATGTCTTCAACTAGATATTACTACATTCTCCTTTCTGAGGTTTTTCCTGGTCACCCACCTTTTACATAAAATTATATTTAATTTTGATCATTGTTTCCCTGTAGACTATAAACACATACATGAAATCTTAGGGTCAGATTACTGTTCATCCTAACTGCTCTCCAAACAGGACAGTGGAAGTGGATTGATGAATACACCACAGAAACATGAGGGTTGAATTGGTTCCTTTTACAGGAATGGTATACAAAAAAAAGACATTATTCAATATTTAGAAAAAAAAAAAAAAGAGATCAAAAGGCAAAGTACAGTCTTCTGGGATGCAAATATAATGCTGAATATTCATTGTCTCTCAAATATGCTACTACAAACTGGCAGCACTGAATTCATTGATAGTTGAGAATAAGAAAGAGGCAAAGAGAAAGGAAGTGTGTTATTTCTTCACAGGAATTTTATGAAAAATTTACATTTGCATAAAGAAAAAAAAATATTTTGTGTTCTTAAGAGTATGGGACTGCATACAAGTAATTTATATGAGTAACCCTGGAAATAGCATGTTTCTGTGATATTCCAAGAGCTGTTCAGGGCTCATTCAAGATCATACTGTTTTTGTTCAGAGAAGCAATATCAACTATTATGCACAAGTCTCGAGAAGGTGTGCATCTTGTATAAGCTAAAGCCCGTATTAAATCAAGACATAAAAAATATCGTCAAATAGTTTCTGCCCAAACTCCAACAGATATTTCTATTCAGCACTAACAGAATCCTTGTGGGATTTGTAAGATAGAAAAAATCTCTAGGAACAATACACTTGGGGAAAAAAAACAATTCTACTACTTGTATCATTAACTGTAAGGAAGACCTTTAATTTGTTTGAATGAAAATCTTAAATAATCCCCAAATGCCCTGGAAATATTCTTCAATTTGAGAGGTAGATTGTGTAAATACAGGCAGAGTGAATAAATTCCCTTTCCTAAGAGATATAAGAGAATGAGATTCCTTCTGCCCTTAGTTTTTGCCACAGACATGAGAATTGTTTTCCGGATAGGATAGAATAAGATAGGACAGAATAGGATATTTCAGTTGGAAGGGACCTTCAAAGATCATCTAGTCCAACTGTCTGACTACTACCGGGCTAACCAAAAGTTAAAGCAGATTATTAAAAGAACAAATGTTTTGACCAAAAAGAATGACATAAAATTAACCTATATGTCAGAGATTCTTTGCATCTGCTTCCAATTTCCCTCCATCTTGTATTCCCCATCATTTCTGGGCATTCTTTGTAGGGAAAAAGTTTAGAGACTTGAGTCAGCTGTATTTTTTTTCCCGAGAGATGAAAACTACTACTGTAGTTCTACTGGCATACAGACATACCTATTACTAAAAGGAATCATAAACTAAGCAATTATCTGTTTAAAAGCAGTAATATGAGAGGAGGAGAAATTTAAATAATTTACCTTAATTGGTTTGTGTGTGTATACAAGCAGGTGTTCTGTATTTTTGAACTCCTGAGAGCAGTATACTTAATGTGTAACATTGTACATAG